GGTATAGCCCTGTGAGCCATTCGGCTCTTGAATCGGGTGCAACCGCAACAAACAAAAAACAAAAACATGAGCAAAAAACATCTTAAAGTGAATATGTGACTAATCCAAAAAAAGACAGCAAAATATTGCAGAAAAAAAAACGTACACCAACGCTGTGTGCAAAAATCCCAGTGGGATGCAAGTCAAACAACAACAACAACCACAAGACAACTTAGATTAAGGCCATCAGTCTAACTCTGTACTACAACAAACAAACATGGCTAAACCAATACACTTTTCGAAATCACCAAAATAAAGCTATGAAAGCAATGAAAAAGCAATCATAGGAACTGTGACGGAATTTTCACAATAAATGGCATAAACAACATGTGCTACACCCGTCCCATAAACCAGCCCTCCCCAATCCTGCACATGCACGTGTCCTACTCAGCACAACCTTTTAATGCATAATCACATCTACAACGTGAATTAAAATGTGTGTGTTTTAAAAGTGATACTCGTTTTCAGAATCAGAATGTTTTTTTTTTATTTATCATGGAGAAATCCGATGAGCCATGAAGCTGTTTTTCACAGATGTCCAGTAGGGGGCGGGTCAAAAAGTTAAAACAACAAAATGCAAAAAAACAGGCGTGCAAAGTATAGGAGGGGTAAACAAAGAACAGCAAAATAAATACGTCAAATAGATGAAGCATATGAGCTCAAATTGCATAAGTACAACAAATCCCAAGCTTGGGCAAGGCAGCAAAACAACAGCAAAAAACAATCCCAGACCACATCAAGACAACACACAGTCCTTCAATAAAATTGCACATCAAAATTGAACGATCGATACATGGCGAAGGATGAAAGTTACAAATCACATTTGCAAATGCGGTTGTACGCAGCACTAATCTTCTGCTTCGGGATATTTTTTGGGAATGAAGATTTACGATGTTAAGGGAGGACATAAGGTTGTCCCAAAACGTTGGTGCTACGACGGCAAAGGCTTCGTCACCTAGAATGAGCAACTTTTATGTTGTAGCAATTTGCTGCCATTAAAAACAGCTTCATTAGGCGAGCATATTTCCGCACACTCTTTGGTTTTTGGGTAAAGTCACGTAGGTAAAAAATAAATTAACGAAAAAAAACTAAATTAAATGACGACGTTTCGGAGGCGGAAGCTTGTGTTGCCTCTGAAACGTCGTGATTTAATTGAGTTGTTTTTTCGTCTATTTATTTTTTTACCTACGCGACTTTACTGAAAAAACCAAAGAGTATGAATCCTTGCAGTCACGAAAACTTCAAATCTAGAATATTTCCGCACGTTTAGCACACACACAGATACATAAATACCCGCCCGTCCCCTTGCGATTGCGCGCGGCGATTTTCATATTTCGCATTCATTTTACGCATTTGACTCGTGTGCTCCAGATTGCAATGCAAGCTGCGCTGTCACACTGCACAGCTGAGTGTTCATCTTAGTGCCTGCTGTGGTTGAGAGCCGTAATTCTAAGGGTGAGTCGGGACCAAGAAAATTACCAGGTTTTAGGTGCCATTCTGTACCGAGTGTAAATTAGTGGCATTTGTCAACATAGCTGGCAGGGGTGTAATGCCAGTGTCCGAATTGTGCACCAGTCCTGGCAGGTGTCGTGTTTCTCTTTAATCAAAAGATTTTTTTTTGTAAAAAAAAATAATGCATCAGGCCTACGCCAAAACAGTCTTCACGTGTTGATAAAATCAAAGGGCTGTTATTGACACATGATCCGATGTGTTTCATGTTTAACTATCGGGTATAGGATTGGGGGGGGGGGGGTGTTTATCCTTGGGGAAATTCTTCATCCAGCATTGAATTTATCATGGTTGTCGGTGATGATGATCTAGATTCAAGTGAAATCATCCGTAATAATTATTTTCTTCATTTGATCAGGAAAAACTCACAGAGTCTTACGACTCACTCAGGAGGATCCTGCATTGGGATGTTTGGCCAGTTCCATGAATGAGCCTTTTGCTTAATGTGGAGGGGGAAGACTGAGTGCTGTGAGAAAATGTGTACATACGAGGGATGAACACTCAAAGCTCAGCATAGTTAGATTCAAGAATACATTGCTTGACTGCCATTTCCTACTCTTAGGGTTTTTTTCCGGTAAAGTCACGTAGGTAAAAAAATAGATATAAATAATAATAAAAATAATAAATCACGACGTTTCGGAGGCAACACAAGTCTTCGTCATCAGGTGGGACCGTCACAGCTAAATTTACTGTATCAAGTGAGGCAAAATTCCAAGAGACGAGCTCTTAAATACAAGTTAAGGGGGAGGGGGGAGGGGCTTATCTGAATGTGGTAGCCAATGAATGGAACGTGTTGGGGGGGTGGGCGGGGCTAAAAGAGAACAACAGTAGTCCAAGTCCTACCCGGTGTTGGTTGACAATCCAAATACAAAAAAGGAGAGTACTGTTAAACGCTGGGGATGTCAACACTCGGTAAAGTAGAATAATACCTGTCAAATAAGATGGTCCAAATGTGTGTAGTTAAGTCTTGTTTACATGGTTAATAACATATTTCCAATGATTACTCAGTATGTACCCATCATCACGGTTGAAGTTATGTCTGTGTTTGTATATCTGGATGGCTTCGTGTGCCATTTCCTTTACCACCTCGCAGCCCGAGCCTATAACCACCTGGTATTCAGAGGCAATGTCTCTTCTAAGTACCAATCAGGTTTCACCATGTTTCGCTTCTGAGAGCAGATGCAATCATGAATAATTGGTCATAGGTGCATACATGTCATGTTTTGTGAGTATATGTCTTGAAAAACACGATTTGCTTTGGAAGGAAATATCTTAAAAGTGTTGATGTTTGCATTGCGCATTGGGTTAGTGAGTTAAAAGCACAGGCAAGAGGTCACCTAGGCGAGCCATGGTATGAACTGACGATGTAGGTATCATACGTGCAATGGCAATAAATTATGTTTTATTATCTTCGATTTTTCCAGATACATTAATGCAGTCCGTGAAAAATGCGAAAAGCGTTAGCCACTTGCCACTGTGGCATTTAGCAATCTCGTGAGATTCCCACCTCTGATATAGGTAAGTCGTTGAACTGAGCCAGATGTGAAAATGTTTAAATCACGATATACAGCTCATAAGGTGAAAGCTATCCATCGTAAACATGAATTAACAGAAGGAAGTCCAGTTATGAATATCTGCATTACCTACTCCGATGCAATTGAACAGAAGTGGTCACAAATCCCGTGCCGCTGAATTTGTCATTCAGTCTGGTTTCTCCATTCTTTCCCCAAAAGAGTTAAAACCGTATAATTATTTGAGAGCTAATTGCCACATTCTTCATTTAATTTCAGTGTACAGAATATAATGACACATTAAAGCCTTTTTGTCCTCTGAATGGCAGGAGAGGCAAATGCGATGCAGCATATAAACCAAATAAGGAATTCTGAAACATTACCTGCCATTGTTGTTGGGAATTCCAGCAGTAAATATGTTGTGTGCGAGACCTTATGATGCCAATATCAAAGGAATAATAAAATCAAAGGACTATAGATCCCAGTGAGAGATGCAAATGAGCATTTCCTCTTGAAACAACTGAAACGCTTGTATGCTTCATTATAATAATTGCGCACTTTTTTCTGCACCAAAATCTTGCAGACATGAAAGAAGGTGCAATGTGCGTGGTTTATATTTGATGCACCATTTGTGCATTTTGTACAATCTCTGAAAAGAAAAAAATATAACGCTAAATTGTTGAATGTCTGCACATTCACTTCGGCCGTAGAGAAGCAATAATAATTCCGTAGTTTGTCGAAAAGCTTTGGGGCGGTTGAGGGGAGAGTGAAAATGGTCAGCCACGGGTTGGTGGCGACCGCAGACGCTTGTACAGTAACCCCTTGGTATTCCACGGATGTTCTTCGGAGAAAAAAAAAAACATCCTCACGTGAAAAAATGATCATGGCTGCATCGTGACACAGCGCTGTTGTAAAGATGTTTTCCCGAGACTCAATGTGCAATTCAAAGGCCTGTGTTCATTTAAGACTGATAATCAGTTTCGAAAATAATATTTTTTTCCGAAAATGTTCCTTCCACATTTGTTTATCCGTAAACGCAGTGTGACCTTAATTTTTTTTAGAATACGCCACGAAGCTTCAGCGAGCGGTCTTGCGGCCAGCTGGGTGCCAGTCTCGTAGCTTCTTCGTAAACAAAGGAAGGCCCTTGCTAAAATGAAAAGACACATTTGTTAAAAAACAAAATCTCATGATGCGAGCGAGGGGGCGCACGCTGCCTTGGTGACTTAGCATCATCTTAGGCACCATTACAAGTCTGCTGAGAAACGTGACACAGATGTGGGTTTAGCCCGTCGTGATGAAACTTATGGGCCACCCAGCGTTCCGTGCGTGGCTTTATGGTCCTTGAGTAAATAGCGCGAAAATGTCTTGTTGATACCACCTAGTGTGGCAAATCCTTACCATGATTTTCTTTAATTAGTTTACTGCTAGATCACAAATATATATATACATGATAGCAAGGTCACTGTTGTAACTGTTTCTGAGATAGATTTTTGTAAAATAAGGGCACCATAGTCTCTATAAACATGGAAAATTGGCATGTTTTTAAAACCACTAGCCAAACATTCCATGTTTACTGCGGTAGGTCACATAGAGAATACCGGTTTGAGCAGTAAAAACAAGAACGTATGTGACATGAAACATCCACGTAATATGACAATAAATATGGAGTGTATATCAAACAGAGTATGTGCCAAGCGCACTGATCGCACCTCCCATTAGCACGGTTGGGTACGCGCTGTGCGAAAGACATATACGTACAACTAAGCTTTCTGCCAAGGAGAGATACTGCCCAGTCGGATTACTGGTGGCGTTTACCACCACATGTAGCACCAACCCATCCGTTTGACTCATGCTCTCTTAACAACTCGTGGCCTATGAATGAGCTCCGGACGGTTTCATCAGAGGCCACCGTATTGTGCTCGCTGTCGTGCCCTGCCGCAGGGATGCAAGTGCTGGAATGGAACCGAATCCCGCTGACCGGGAGAACGTTCGAGGAGGTGCAGAGCATCCTGAGCAGACACGACAAGGAGGTGGAGATCTGCGTCCGCCTGTACGTGCCGCCACCATCTCGCGGCCCTCTCCGCGCTAGGGGCAGACGCGACGCACGCTCGGCCTACGGGCCCAGCGGCGGGAACCACTGGCCTGGGGTGATGAAGTCACTGCATGTTGCAGCAGCATGGCCAAAATAAACGTGTTTTTTTTTGCAATCGCCAACGGCGACAGCACGTGTGGCCCTTTTTGCCAAATCCACTGCTGGATGAGGGCCTTCCCCCATGTCGCGCGGGTCATTTGTTATGAGCGCGTTGACCATACTGCACCACGCTGGTCAGTGCGGAGGTCTGTGAAGGCGGGGAGCATATACATCGAGTATAGTGCAGCACAGTAATGGATGTTACTGCGTTGTTCCGGCTGCTGACAACGTAGCCCTGCAGAAAATCCACAAAGCCCTCTTGATTGCATGCTTGTTGGTAGCCCTTCGAAGCCGCTAGCCAGGATCCAACTCCACTTCGCACAAAGTGGCGTCCATTATATCAGCCCTGGAGAGATAAGGGCCAAAGTCAACCACGAATGGAACAGAGGATGTGAAAAAATATCCATATATATTCGCTTTAGCACTTTAAAATATACACATGCACAGCAATATGCCTTGTATATAATGCTGCATATCTATCGGCGTTTTTGTATTACAAAAGGAACGGTCATTTTATTTATTACACGAAGAAACGCAATAAACTTTGGGCCTCGGTGTAGACTAATATCCACTGTGCCCGACCCAAGATGTTGTTGCCTTGAGGCTTACACAAGGATTGAGCAGCCTTCGAAGAAGATTAGAAAAGCTAAAACCTGGCAAGGAGTGTCGATCAATGTCTGTGCTGATGAAGGGTCCTTACACTGCAACGCTCTGGCACTCCCTCTGCCCGGTGGAGAGTTGTAAATGAGAGTGCGTTAACAATGGGGCCATCCTTATTAACGGGGGCCGTCTGTAGTTATACCACGGAGGTAAATAACCCCAGATAGTTTAATGTAGTATTAGTATTTATTTATCGATGTTACAGGAGGTGTGTGTGTTAAATAACTGTATATTCAATGCTCTATAGTAGGGGTGGAGCAGTTCGTCGGGCAAATCGATGAACTTCAGCAATTCAAGGTCAATGTTTGATTAACGAATGAGTAATATTGTTTTACAGTGTATATATTGCAGTGAATGATAGTGCCTCCTAAGTAGCTGCAGGGGTGATGTCAAACCATTGCGTGCAACATTTATGAAGCGGAATAACATGTATCCTTACGTGATCCAAATCATACACCATGAGTTTAAGAATCGGAATTTATTGATTAATTCTTGCATGCTTCAACGCCTACTTTATGGCATTTATCTTGTGCGTCGAAGCAAATTATTTTTGTATTATTAAAAATATCTCGTGATATCCGAATTGGCTGCGGAATTTTTACAGCAACAACAAAATCCCGTGACCTACTGAAAAGAGCAAAACAAAAACTTCCAGGGGTTAAAGGGAAGTTATCGTAATGTACTCGTTGTCTTACTCCCTGCAAAAATGCTGCACTCTTGAATGTTAATTCGGTGAGTGATGAGCCATATTTTGTGGAAATCGCCTACAGTGGAACAAAATAATGTGTGTAGATCTGTGTCCTCGGACAGGGACCTCAACATGCTCTCAGACCTGGAGAACCCTCAACGCCTAGAGCTGCAGGAATATTCCAGCTTGAGTAAGTAAGGTCTACGCATCATCTCACTGCCTCTTTGAGACTCTTTGTCAAAATCAGAGCCATAGCTTTTTTTTTTACACTTGTGACACCCAGAGCCAATTGAGCAGGAGATTGAAATGCTCATGAAATAATAATAGTTGTCCCACTCGCATTTAGACTTTATTAACGGAGGTGGTCTAAATTTGTTCCGTCGTATAGTTCTGGAACGCAAGTGGTGGATCGTCGTTCGGGAGCCCGGTGGGGCCAGGTCCCACCAGTAAAAATAGAAAAAGGAGAAAACCTTAACGACACTTGCTAACTCATTACGAGGATGATAAACTGCAACTGTAAATCCCTCTCCTCTGACTGCCACCCTCCACCCTCCCCATCCATCCCCCACTTCCCCTCCCTCTTCCTGCCCCCACCCCAGCAGGCCTCCCAGGGACCCACCAAAAAGAAAATTTACAATCCGCGCTGCCACCGCGAGCTGTGGGCAAATCCATATTTTATTTAGTGTCTGTACCTGGTTTGAGAACTATTAAAGTGATTATACGGTGTAATTTCCAGAACTTTAGTAATGGAAGACTTGGCTAGGCCCATTAATAGAGTTCTGCTCATTTGGCTGTGTCTGGGAAGGATTCCCTTGAACAATGTGTCTGTTGGTCTGCTGCGCTGCCACTGTGGTGTCCTCTGTTTGAAACTTGTGTTTATCGTTTATTCTAAACATCAGTTCCTGAGACATACATGACCTACTGTTCTACCTTGCCACGCAGACCAATTTAAATAAATATATCCAAAACCTGCCGTCAACCTTCACATTAGAGAATAAAAATGTAATAGCCAGAGTTCGTATACCGTACTGGATGAATCATCCAGAGTATACCGGATTGAATCATATTGACGATAGTTTGTTTTAGCTATACAGATAAAGAGATAGTTGATATCTTAAAAGCTAGCCGTGAAAGCAAAAGCAAATATGTATCGTCTCTGTGTACTCAATGCGCTCTTGAAAGGCTGGGCCTTGAGTCTAAAGGTGTCCCTTTGAGCAGTGGCAATTGTGGATCGAGGTCTCATCGCTGTCCGTGTGGCTTTTGCTGTTAAGCAAACAAAAAGGACTCTGGCCGATGTGGAAAAAACCTGTCAACTGCCCTCATTCCATTGATTGGCTTTGAATTACATCTGGGGATAGCAGCCTCCTACTCTTCCTCCTCATCGCTTTTTTGCTACAATTGGCCTGCAGTGACTGGTAGATTTGTGTGGCAAAATTCTAGAAATGGCATGTGGTAATGATGAATTATGGAATCGCTTTTATTACAGATTAAAGGTGTTTTAAATAGTTTCTTGCCAGAAAAAAATTATTTTCACTTTTATGAATATAAAATGCCTTCAGTTTTCATCAAATATGTTTTACTCATGATGTGCTTTATTTGCTTATGTCATGAAATATAATTTTTTCATGAAAGGATGGAAATAAAATGAGTTTAATATTGTATGCAGTATTTTCTATTCAAAAAGTAATTGACAAATGGCATACATATTCCCCGTTCCTATTCGTGATAACTTACAATAAATAACCCTCACATTGTGCAAAAATCACACTTTGTATTAAAATACCACACCACGTGTCCCAAATGTATGTACTGTATGTTGAATTTCTTTCGCACCACGCATAGCCAACTGTGCTAGTTGGAGGTGCGGGGGAAGGACAACAAACTAAACACAAAAAGCAGTTCTATAGAAATGAATTATCATCCGAACACCATGTCAAAACCAAAAATCAAACTTGCACTTGCAAAAGATTAAGTGGTTCTATTGAATAAGGTGTGTGCAATTATACCATAAAATGAATCAGCTATGAGTGTGAGTTGCTAGTAACAGAGAGAGATCACTTACTCTTTGGTTCTTTCAGTAAAGTCACGTAGAAATAAATTAAATTAATTTCTACGTGACATTACCGAAAGAACCAAAGAGTAATTCCTGCAGTCACGAAAGCTTCGAATCTAGCTTAGAGATCACTTAGTCATTCGCACTCGCAACTCTCTCAAAGTCAAATCAGACTCTCAAACGCATGTTAATTACAACTCTTTTGTATAACCCAAAGCAGTAATTCAGAGCGGTATCACGCCGTGTTTGGCACCCACTTTTTCACAAAGGCGGGCCACGATTATTACTTCAATGTGCGACTGGGTTCGACTGTTGAGCGTACCTGAAGGCGTGGTTGGCAAGGGCTATCTTACAGAGACAAATTGAAAGGTTCTAGATTTGAAGCTTTCGTGACTGCAAGGATTCATATTGTTAGGTTTTTTTCGGTAAAGTCACGTAGGTAAAAAATTAAAATTAATAAAAGTAAAATAAAAATCACGACGTTTCGGAGGCAACACAAGCTTCCGTCTTCAGGTGGAACAACTATCGTGCTGTGACGGTTCCACCTGAAGACGGAAGCTTGTGTTGCCTCCGAAACGTCGTGGTTTTTTATTTTATTTTTATTTTACTTTTATTCATGAAAAATGTTTACTTACGTGACTTTACCGAAAAAACCTAAGAATATAAATTGAAAGGTGGTTGGGGGGGGGAGGGGAGAAGGAGTTTCAAAGCCACGAACCATGCTGCGTTTGGTTCACAGCATCGCAGCGCCAGAGGTCACCGGGCGTGGACCCCAAGCAGCTCGCGTACGAGTTGCGCAAAGTGGCGCAGTGTGCGGGAGGAGCAGCCGGAGCCACGGCGCAGATGGACGGCAAGACCTTGATCGTCATCGGCACGGCCACACCCGCGGCCACGACGCAGCAGCATCTACGGGACGGCCTGTCAGCCACGTCGAGCCCCAGCCGCCCTGCCTCGCCCGCCAGCGGCAGCAAGAAGCGCCACTCCAAGGCCAGTGGCTCCCTCTTGTCTCCCGTCTCTACTCGTGTGGCCTCTCGCCTGTGACATGATCCACAATGCTAGCCTCACCTGTGGCATGATCCACCCTATTCTTAGGTTGTTTTGGTAAAGTCACGTCGGTAAAGAATTTTAATTAATAAAAGTCAAATAAAAAAATCACGACGTTTCGGAGGCAACACAAGCTTCCGTCTTCAGGTGGAACCGTCACAGCACGATAGCTGTATCAAGTAAAGAGAAATTCTAAGAAAACAGACCTTGTATATATACTGGTTGAGGGGGGGGAGCCAGGGTAGGCCCCTGGATAGGAGTTTTTTATTATTATTTTACTTTTATTAATTTTATTTTTTACCTACGTGACTTTACCGAAAAAACCTAAGAATATGAATCCTTGCAGTCACGAAAGCTTCAAATCTAGAATGATCCACCCTGCCAGTCTCACCTGTGGCACGATGCACCCAGCTAGTTGTACCTGTGCATGCGTGTGCGCGCGTGCATGCACATTTGTCCCAATGGACAGATGCTCCGCCTACAGCACCTGCCACAACGATATGTGTAGGTTATGCAGGGGATCGTTGTATTTGTGAGTTTGCATGCTCCGGCCTTCACGGGTGCTCGCTAATAGCACTTGCCCCTGACAGCCTGCGCAAAACTACTTGATTCCCAGCTTGCTGGATCTCTTCCGCTGTTTGAATTGTGCTTTTGCGTTGTCGTCAGGGCCTAATGTGAGACCTTGACCACACTCGGTAGCGTGGTCTTGAATTTCCAAGCTGGGTGGGGAGGGTCGGAGATGAGTGGGGGTAGGGGGCTTTCACCCTATTACTGCCAAACATGGGCACGGAGGAAAAATTGACTTTAGCCATCCCCCCCCCCGACTAAAAATCCATGCATTAGATCGGTACAACCCCGGTTGATGTCATTTTTTTACGGGGAAAAATTGTCTGTGTTGTGATAAACAATGCCTTTTTTTTTCCACCACCACTAGCTATGATGCATCAAAAATGTACCACCACGCTATAAATAGCGGGAGCTATAAAACAACCAAAAATATTTTATCGTGACGCGAGGCAGGGATTCGAGCCGGCGTCGTTGCCACATTAACGTCGGCCGCCCGGTGTCCCGACCCTGCGGCGACACAGCGCCTCCACGCAGACGGCGCCGATTTGTCGCTGCGTAACAACACTGGCAGGGTCGGCCAGGCTATGCCCCCATCGCCATCCTCCTCCCGACCCCTTCACTCCCTCCCTCACCGCTGCCCACTTGCAAAACGGTGGCATCATCCATTTGTCAAGGCGCTCTTCCCCCTCCAACCCAGCTTAAATATATGCTCCAAGCCTGGTGGTGTTTCATTCAGACGCTGCCTTTCCGACAGACCTGTTCTTCACCTGAGGACGGCTGCTTGCGCTGTGGCCGAAACGTCGTGAGAATTATTTTATTATGTTTTATTTTTATTATTTGATTATTTCCCTTCAACGTGACTTTACCGAAAGAACCAAGAAGATCATCCATACCATGAAGAAAGCTAACACCTTATTGAGATCACGTGGGTTGGCACCTATGGGAGTATATCCAGGCCGCTTGGATGATATTCACTTGCGCCGCCACCGGGCTCACAGCGCCGTGAAAGGGCAGTCCCGAGTGGCGTTTGCATAACGTTGATATCCTTCAATGTCATCTATTTATTCCTTTAATGGCACCATATCAAGTGCGTTTATTTTTTGCGAAATAAAAATGAGCCGTTGGTCATGAATTCTCAGGCTTGTTACGCGTTAAATTTATCCTACTCTTAGTTCTTTCGGTAAAATCACGTAGGTAAAAAATGAAATTAAAATTAATAAATAATGCAATAATAAAATCACGACGTTTCGGAGGCAACACAAGTCTCCGTCATCAGGTGGGACCGTCACAGCCAGATTTGCTGCATCAAGATTTTATTTTTTATTTTTTATTAATTTTAATTTCATTTTTTACCTACGTGACTTTACCGAAAGAACTAAGAGTATGAATCCTTGCAGTCACTTAAGCTTCAAATCTAGAACCAAGTGGATGTGACCTTGCTGCTGACAGATCCTCAAAATGCGATTCCTTTCATGTGCTGGTTCTGTTCTAAGTGTTTACCATCGAGAAGAGAGTTGAGAGGGGACTATGTGTAAAGTTGCATACGTTTAGAAAATAAAGATATTCCTTTTGCATGGAAAAATTACAACTTTGTCATGGAGTCAAATGTTCATAGGTCTGACGTGGTTGACATCTTCTATTTTTTAAAGGAAAGCATAACGTTTGTTGATAGAAATATATTTTTGTTTTCCTTTATCTTGTGAAGGAGAATAGCTTTCACTTCACAAATCTGTGCCCGCTTATCTACAGCAGAACGTCCGCAACGAGATATCCCACACTTGTGTGGCCACGGTGGCTGCAATATCACCGCACGCACGGTTCCCTCCCGTGTTTTGTGAGCAGCAAGTGGTTTAGGACTGCCAGAGTTTGACCACCTTTAGCACAGCCGGATGGTTTCACCCGTGGATCTGAAATCTCTGATTAATACACTCGGGAAGCGATGTCACGTCTCGCTGCCATGTTTTGTTCACGCGAGCACGTTCCCTCCGACAACGTGCAGTCTTAAAATATCCACGGGAATATTGGCAGGGTCCCAATTGCTGGGCATACAACACCGTGTTGCTTGTCATCAGTCATGACGGTGATCTGTCAGCCTGCATGTTGACTTGTGTGCTCATATCATCTGTGCTGCATTTAATTCATAGGCTGTGTATACGCTGTGAGTTAATGTAAACAACAAACTTTTTACTAACACATTTTTTTAACCTTCTTCTTGGTTCTTTCGGTAAAGTCACGTAGAAGGGAAGTAATAAAATAATAAAAATAGAACATAATAAAATAATTCTCACGACGTTTCGGCCACAACGCAAGCAGCCGTCCTCAGGTGGAAAACAGGTCCGTCAAGTAGGCTTGCGTTGTGGCCGCAACGTCGTGAGAATTATTTTATTATGTTTTATTTTTATTATTTTATTACTTCCCTTCTACGTGACTTTACCGAAAGAACCAAGAAGATGAATCCCTGCAGTCACGAAAGCTTTAAATCGACATTTTTTTAAGTTTTGATATTCAAAGACTTATGAGCTGGGAACTATAGTGTGAGTTTTTACATGGTCATTTCATTGTGGTTTATCAGTGAATGTATGCATCATGAATAATTAAAAACAAAACAATAATTCGAAGATTCCGCTTTAATTATTTACTTCATGGACCACATCAGAGAACAACGTTTAAATTACGTGTTGAACCAATTTTAATTATATTGTTCCCATGGCATTTCTATTTATTTATATGCCATTGACGTTTTGTGTAGATCGCATCACACAATTTTGTATTCTAATGCATTCTCTGATGCACAGCAGAGACATCAAACTGGTGAAGAAATTTAACTTTTTCAAATCTGCAATGTTACAAAGTATTTTTTTCTTCTATTGATAATGGATAGAGATTGTTATTTCTTCAGTGAAATGTTTTATTGTTCTATTTGATTGTAACAGATCGAAGCTACAAAACCTTCTCATCCAATTACTGGGGAGATTCAGGTAATCGTTTTTTTTTTACACTTTTTTTATATCCATTCGTATTGAATTCCATGCTACATTTTGCTCTGTGCCTATTCGTGGCAAAGTGCAATAACCAAAATGTGTTCCATGCTATAAAACCCATTTTTGTGTGTGTGCCGTGTGCTCGCAGGAGCATACAATGAGATTCACGTTTGGTGACCTCATAACCTTTGCCCTCTCCTTGTCCCATTAAATCTCATATGTTCAATAAAAACTTTACTTTTCATTTACTTTATTTTGTACCTTTCTTATGCTGTAAATCTAAAATGTAAAATAAAAACTCTTTACTTTTAATTTACTTTATTTTATGTACTACTTACCATTCTTATGCTGTAAATCTAAAATGTAAAATAAAACTCTTTATCTTCTTGGTTCTTTCGGTAAAGTCACGTAGAAGGGAAGTAATAAAATAATAAAAATAAAACATAATAAAACAATTCTCACGACGTTTCGGCCACAACGCAAGCAGCCGTCCTCAGGTGAAAACCAGGTCCATCGAGGCGACAGAGTCTGAATGAAACAGCACACGAGCTTGGAGCATATATATAAGCTGGGCGCATTGACAAAGGAATTTGCATATCAAAAGGAATTTAGCATATTTATGGGAAATGCAGGAATGTGATTAGTACTGCATATGCATGTGCATTATGCAGGATTAACAGCATCAAAGGGAGCTGCAGTTACTGCTGCTGCAGCAGTTTCTGCTGCTGCACTTGCTGCTGCTGCTGCAGTTACTGCCTTATCCATTTTAATATAACACTATGTATTATTCTACCCACCCTAATGTGTATCATACTGCTATATGTTTACTGTACAATTACGACACCATACATTACTCTGCACACTGCACCATGCCAGTGAGTGGAACGCGGTCTGAAAGTCACCGTAAACGTGAACACAATCAGTTAAGATCCGAAATGGTTTATTACGTCCTTCCAATGATTGCTAAGCCAGAATCCATCTTCTCGGTTGAAATTGTCTCTGTGTTTGTATATGTGGATCGCCTCATGAACGAATCTCTCATGATAGCCAGATGGCTTGCAGAGAACCTCTGTCTTGGAGAAGTCAATGTCATGTGAGCACACTGAATTGTAACAGTGATCTGCCACGGCTGAGGTGGCAGATCACTGTTACAATTCAGTGGGCTCACATGACATTGACTTCTCCAAGACAGAGGTTCTCTGCAAGCCATCTGGCTATCATGAGAGATTCGTTCATGAGGCGATCCACATATACAAACACAGAGACAATTTCAACCGAGAAGATGGATTCTGGCTTAGCAATCATTGGAAGGACGTAATAAACCATTTCGGATCTTAACTGATTGTGTTCACGTTTACGGTGACTTTCAGACCGCGTTCCACTCACTGGCATGGTGCAGTGTGCAGAGTAATGTATGGTGTCGTAATTGTACAGTAAACATATAGCAGTATGATACACATTAGGGTGGGTAGAATAATACATAGTGTTATATTAAAATGGATAAGGCAGTAACTGCAGCAGCAGCAGCAAGTGCAGCAGCAGCAACTGCTGCAGCAGCAGTAACTGCAGCTCCCTTTGATGCTGTTAATCCTGCATAATGCACATGCATATGCAGTACTAATCACATTCCTGCATTTCCCATAAATATGCTAAATTCCTTTTGATATGCAAATTCCTTTGTCAATGCGCCCAGCTTATATATATGCTCCAAGCTCGTGTGCTGTTTCATTCAGACTCTGTCGCCTCGACGGACCTGGTTTTCACCTGAGGACGGCTGCTTGCGTTGTGGCCGAAACGTCGTGAGAATTGTTTTATTATGTTTTATTTTTATTATTTTATTACTTCCCTTCTACGTGACTTTACCGAAAGAACCAAGAAGATGAATCCCTGCAGTCACGAAAGCTTTAAATCGAAATAAAACTCTTTACTTTTCTTCTTCTTGGTTCTTTCGGTAAAGTCACGTAGAAGGGAAATAATAAAATAATAAAAATAAAACATAATAAAATCATTCTTACGTCGTTTCGGCCACAACGCAAGCAGCCGTTGTGGCCGAAACGTCGTGAGAATTATTTTATTTTATTATGTTTTATTTTTATTATTTTATTATTTCCATTCTACGTGACTTTACCGAAAGAACCAAGAAGATGAATCCCTGCAGTCACGAAAGCTTTAAATCGAAATCTTTACTTTTCATTTACTTTATTTTTACCTTTCTTATGCTGTAAATCTAAAATAAAAACTCTTTACTTTTCATTTACTTTATTTTATGCACTACTTACCATTCCTATGCTGTTCATTGTGCACGGTTGCAATTTACTTTGCCCAGTCGACGTCGGCCGCGGAGGGCGTGATGTGCACCGATGCCCACTTTATCGAGGGCGATATTGGCACATAAAATGAAGATCGATTTATTGTTAATTGTCCCCACCGTGCAGCTGCAAATGAGCTTTGACCGCCACTCGGGAAACCTCATCATTCACGTCCTGCAAGCGCGGGGCTTGGCGCCACGTGACAACAACGGCTTCTCGGACCCCTTCGTCAAGGTGTACCTCCTACCGGGGCGCGGGTGAGTCCCATCGGCCGCCCGTTGAAAAATACACTCGGCCAAGACATGAACACGTGACCCCCCCCCACCCCCCCCCCCCCACCATGTAAAACTGAATGCCCTCACAAGGGGAAAAGCGGTTGGTCCTGGTAGATGTTACGTGTAGTGCGCTCCCTGCCTCCGCTCGTAATGAATTCGTGTGACACTTCGAAAGAGAGAGCGATGGGAATTAATATTGCATGCGGGGCACCTTTGCGATGTGTGATTGCTGCTTGACCCCTCTGTCACCCACAAAGACGAGGCAATAAGGGTGAGGATATAATTCCGCCGCCTAGCCTGCAAGGAATATATTAAACAAAAGAGAGTCGTGAAACTCTTCTGCCGTTTAAGATGTTTCTTCCCAGGAGTTTTTTTTTTTTTACAGAGCTCTGCTCCGTTATCTGAATCTTCAAATCCACAGGGCAAAGATCTGCAGATTACTCAAGACACACTTTGAGTCAGTGCATGTGTCGTTTCAGCATAGGTGAATGCATGCTGCTCTGCACTGCTGCCTCACATGAAATCAAACACAGCCGCAAGCATCTCATGCTTTGTTCATTGTCTGATCCGAAGTGCCCTGGTTTGTAAATGTGGCTCTATTTTATTAATGTGTCTATATTTTGCTTTCCCCAATGGAAGTCTGTACGGATTATGCATTGGCAGATCAATGTGGTCACTCATGTAATTAGGTATTTCCATTCCCATTATTTGTCCTAATTATCGATGACAATGGTAATTATTGCAGTAAATTCCATCATGATTATGACCTGTAATCTTTCCTTCATTCTGCCAAAAGCCATCTGTGGAATAACAATGTATGGCACATGTGTCATTAAATAAACGCTTGTAATTATACTGAGACGCAGCATGTGGAATCCACATCTTTGAGAGAATATGCAGGTTATATGTGTGTACGTATGTCGTATTGTTTATGTCTGTACGTATGTTGTATTGTTTTATGTGTGTACGTATGTTGTATTGTTTATGTCTGTACGTATGTTGAACTTATTTTTGCACCGTACATAGCCAACCGTGCTAATCGGAGGTGTTGGGGGAAATACAACGAACTACACGCAAAAAAGCAGTTCTACAGAAATGAGTATTCAATCTCGATTTAAAAGTGCATAGCTCCAGTGGCTTCCTAATATCAGAAGGAAGAGCATTCCAGATGGCCGCAGAAGCGCATCTGAAAGTGTGCGACGCAGTGAGCGTCTTTGTTTGACGGTTAACCAAAAGCCGCTGCGAGGATGGCCGTAGTTCACATGATGGTGTATGCTCCTTGACGAGATCTGCCAGGTATTCCGGTTAGAGACATGCTGATGATTAATAAAATGAAGGGGGCTTGGGCAAGACTTGTCGCAAAAAGGCGTGATGGCCAATGGTCGACAACAATGATGTAGTGGCAGCCGAAGGGGGAGGACACTTCCAGAGAGAACGTACGCCGGGGAGATGGAGCAAAAAGGTCATCTGGCATGCAGGAGTCAGATGGATTGTTTTATTGTGAGATTGTGAAAGATGATGACGTCCTGGGGGAGGCCTTTGACCACCACTGGATAGACTATGGAGCTGATGACGATGATGAATGATTCGGAGCCATTGCGTTTCTCCATTGGCTTGTCAGACAACTGCAAGACGCAACAGTTTCTCCCTCTGCGTTTTCAGGTCACGGTCTCTTATGGGTGCTAACGACTGGGGTTAGTGTGTGGCGAGGGCTGGATGCTGTGCAATGAAAGTTTAACGAGGCACCAAGGGAAGAGGCCTGTGATGATAGCTGATGATAACGACTGTGTTGTTATAGTCAGCCGTTTTCATATTAGTTCTGTTTAACCAGAAGTTATGAACCAAAGAGTATGGATCCCTGCAGTCACGAAAAATTCAAGTCTAGACATAAGTTATATTAATAACTATATTATATTAATATGACTCTATGTTAATTTGAATCATCATTATAACGGAGTATTCCACCTTTTCTAGTATTCCCTTTCTCTCGGTCATACTCGTCTGAACGTCATCGCCTCTAGACGGCACACTGCGATTCACTCTTCCAATGAGACCGCGCTGAGGCTAACGCTATTTTTTAAATCCTTTATATTAAGTTCACTTGCTTGCTTGCTTACGACCGTGTAAATCTTGCGGTCGTTTTTTAACCCACTTCCCGTGATCCAATCGAGCTGACATTTTCCACACAGACTCGTTGTGCGTGACAATTAATGTTCGTGAAATTTTTTTCCCAAAATTTTACACTTTTTAGGACAAAAATATTATATTTAATTACCAATTGCTTAATGGTGGCATGCAATCATCTGACCCATAGGTGGCAGCCATCTCAAGCCAGAGGACGAGAGGACTCTAGCCGCCACGCATATAAAGGATTTATAGTTAAAAACTTTGTTTTTACTGGTCATACTTGTTGCCACGTTAGTATAATCTCACTAGCTGTACTATCCGGCTTCGCCCGGGACTTGTATCCACCACGGCCGGCCGCCTTTGTCTCCCCAGTGGCGATGTTAATACGCCACACCAGTTACTCGTTTGAGGCTGAGTCGACCTAGGGGAGGTTCAAATAATCTTGACCGGTGGTGGGCATGAGCGGGAATCGAACTGGGTTCGCCGGGTTGGTAGCGCAGCGTAGCGTTAACCACTACACCCACCGCTCCTCACACACACAGACGCACAGACACACACACAGACACACGCAGACACACACAGACAGACACAGACAGACACACAGACACACAGACAGCACGCTAACCACTACACTACCGCTCCCCACACACCACACACGCACACACACAGACACACACACAGACACACACACAGACAGACACAGACAGACACACAGACACACAGACAGCACGCTAACCACTACACTACCGCTCCCCACACACCACACACGCACACACACAGACACACACACACACAGGCAGCACGCTAAGCACTACACTACCGTTCCCCCTACACAACACACGCGCACACACACAGACACACACACACAGACACACAGACAGACACACACACACAGACACACACACAGACACACACACAGACACACACACACAGACACACACACAGACACACACACACAGACACACACACACAGACACACACACACAGACACACACACAGACACACACACACAGACACACAGACAGCACGCTAACCACTACACTACCGCTCCCCACACACCACACACACACAGACACACACACAGACACACACACACACACAGGCAGCACGCTAAGCACTACACTACCGTTCCCCCTACACAACACACGCGCACACACACAGACACACACAATACACACACACATACACACAGACATACACATACATACAAACACACACATACATACACACAAACACATACACAATACACACACACATACATACAGACACACACATACATACACACAAACACATACAGACACATACATACACACATACATACAGACACACAGACATACACATAAACACATACATACATAGTCATGACCTGGCTTTGCCCGGGACTTGTATCCACCACGCCCGGCCGCCTTTGTCTCCCCAGTGGCGATGTTAATACGCCACACCAGTTACTCGTTTTGAGGCTGAGTCCCTCCCTCGCCACTCTGCCTCCCTCGCCACTCTGTAGAGGACGTGAAATTTGTATGAATTTACCTCAGAGTGGCGTGTTGGGTGTCGAGGCCTAGCACCGTGCAGAGCCTCCCGCCTTGCCTGATTTTCCCACCCGGCGAACGCTGGGTACAGGTGCCGGGCCCCCCCCCCCCCCCCCCCGCGCTATTAAAAATGGCGTCCACCCCGCGGCGAAAAGTTGCTACTCGTTGCCAGGGGCAACCGCCGTCCAATGAAAGCGGCGAAGGCGTCGTTAGCTGTTGCCAGGGGCAACCGCCGTCCAATGAAAGTGCGTATGGTCCGAAATCCACACACACATACACAGACAGACAGACAGACATGCACGATTTTATATATATAGATTGTCAAATGTCTGGAATCTGTTTGAAAGGCACGTGCAATTGAGTGTGCAGCTGTACTCACTTTGCCTTGTTTGTGTGTGTCCCCCTGTCTCACCAGTGGAAAGTGTCCTCTCTCGCACTTGTTTCTCTGCTTGTCTGTGCCCTGATGCTTTGATGTGTTTATATTTTTGCTTGCCCTGTGCAATCTGGGATATGCAGTCAAGTTATGGTTGTCCAAAATGCCAGGTATAGTTTGTTTCTCCTTTTCATAATATTCTCAATCCGTTTGCCCTTGCGTGTTTGCATGTGTTTGTATATATACTGTATATATATCTATCTGTTAATCCCAGGTCAATTATGTAATAATTTGGTCAGAGTTGGGAAGGTTCCATCACATTTGCTGACTGTTATTGAGTTCAGCTTATCAGTGGACAGGCGTGTGTAAAGCCACAGCCTGGCTTCAAAATTGTTTGTCGCATGAGCCAAATAGAATGCGTGTTGTCCCGCGGTTCTTTCCGACATCCCATGCAGGGGCGGCCCGTCCATATAGGCGAACTGGGTGGTCGCCTAGGGCACCAAGTTAAGTGTGGGCGCCAAATTCTAGGGGGGAAATACGAATTAAAAAATACAAATAAAATAACGAAGATGTCATTATTTTAATTCCCGTGCACGTACAAAGGGAGTATAAATTATTATTAATTTCTCAACATTTATGATAATTTATTGGTTGGACAGACGGATGGATGGGCAAACCGAATAATGATGCCTCTGTTTAAAAAAAAATCTGCTTAAAAAACATTAAACGGAATATAGGTTGCAAAATATTTCCCAGTTTACCAAAAACCTCAGCCGGGATCTGCCCTTGGGGTTTGAGGGTGGGAGTGCCGATTGCGTGGTTCGCCGTGAGGGCGCCAGTTACTGGCAGCTCCTCTAGGGCCGCCCTTGCTCCCATGACTACGAGTGACTGGGCTTTCATCAGATAGAGCAGTTTCGAGATGAAACCATCGTAAGAGCGATACCACTCATTTTAATTTTACAATATTCCACTGAAAGTTACTCACCTGTGCTTTAACAAAGAAAAACACATGTTCTGGTGGCATGGTGAGTGAGAACACTGGACTCGTAATCCAGAGGTCGCCAGTTCAATTCGATGTTCCAGCCCGACAGTTGAAACAATGTAAAACTTCTTCTTGGTTCTTTCGGTAAAGTCACGTAGAAGGAAAATAATAAAATAATAAAAATAAAACATAATAAAATAATTCTCACGACGTTTCGGCCACAACGCAAGCAGCCGTCTTCAGGTGGAGAACATGTCTGTCGACCTGCTCTCCACCTGAAGACGGCTGCTTGCGGCTGCTTGCGTTGTTCTCCACCTGAAGACGGCTGCTTGCGTTGTGGCCGAAACGTCGTGAGAATTATTTTATTATGTTTTATTTTTATTATTTTATTATTTTCCTTCTACGTGACTTTACCGAAAGAACCAAGAGGATGAATCCCTGCAGTCACGAAAGCTTTAAATCGAAATGTAAAACTTCCTTAAATTTCGTCCCCCTGCTTTTGTCCACCCAACAGTATAAATGTAGCACACGCCACAGTTGGTTGATTGGCAGGTCACGTGCGGTGGAGTAAAGTGTGGGGACTCCTGCCCCTTCAAAAATATATCCGCCCAGCATGACAGAATACGTGAACACCCTCCAGGGGAGGGCCTCGAAAGCAGTGGTTCCCCAAAGTGTGTGGTCCCCAGACCACCAGCGGTTTGCCACGGTACTCCAAGTGGTCGAACATTAACTAATATTTTACTTATGATAATTAATTAAAAAAATGAAGTTAGGTAATTTATATTCTTGGGTTTCTTTCGGTAAAGTCACGTAGGTAAAAAAATACAATTAATAAAAGTGAAATAAAATAAAAATCACGACGTTTCGGAGGCAACACAAGCTTCCGTCTTCAGGTGGGACCGTCACAGCACGATAGCTGTATCAAGTGTTGCCTCCGAAACGTCGTGATTTTTATTTAATTTTTTTATTTACTTTTAAAAAAATTTTACCTACGTGACTTTACCGAAAAAACCTAAGAATATGAATCCTTGCATTCACGAAAGCTTCAGATCTAGAATTAGGTAATTTACCCTAATTAGACTACCCCAGCCATAATATCGAAATGACCCCCACCCCCTTTAAAAAAAAACGTAATAGCTCCATTAAAAATATATATTTTCCGGTAATTACATTTATTTTGTATTACTGGTGTTTAGAGAGGAAAGTGAATGCGTTTTGTCATCAGGGGTGGGGGGAAGTCCGCGGAAATGTTTTGCGTCGGCAGAGTGGACCAGCGGGGCCGAAAAAGATTTTGAGATACACTGCCCTTCGAGCATCTTCTTGCGATTACGGGCTTACTGACAGCAGTGGCGTGATACAAGTCATTGGCGAGCTGCACCTGTAGCTTGTACCCTACTCACAACGGTGCGTTAGGTTGAAAATTCACCTTCGCCACTTGCGCCACGGTCTTTTGTGTTGTTTTTTGTTGTTGTTGTTATTTCAGTCGAAACTGCATGAGGCGTTCAGACATTTTTTGATAGGTTTGAACGTATTGCAGTCGGCGCTGGATATTATCACATCTATTGTAAGCACAGTTGTCATCTCAGCAACGCATCCATATATCACACCGGCGGGCAGAAGACAAAGATGGGACACTTCTGAGACGAGCACTCTTCAGATATGAGCACACTTGGCCTTGCTCCCTCCCAAGGGGGTGTGCTTATATCCAGCTTCTACCACATCACAAACGACCGAACCGTGCAGGGGATGCTGGTTTGGCCTTGACCCTGCGACCTCTCCGTGAACTACAGCTGGAGATTAAAAATCAGTAGCACGACCCGGCGCTGAGAATGCTCGCAGATCGCTTGGCACCCACCACACGACAGCGCCGGCCTGGCTTTGGACGCTCTTTGCAAAGTGTCGCTGCTGGATGGGAGGCCGCGATTGGCCATAGTCCAGCGCCGGTAGCAAGAAGAATATTGAGCACAATGAGCGGGGTTGCCGGGTGAGCGTGGTTATCAACCACCGCAGGCTACTAACCCCCATGACACATGATGACTTTGGCCCTACGTTTGGCTTGGTTTTGCACTTGTCCAGGCAATGGCTCAGTTCTGGGGAAATATTAATAGGGGGGGGGGGGTGTGAATGTGAAAGTGTCAGAGTTTTGGAGGAGCATCCCTACATGTGCATGCATTTAAATTGACAGCGTGCCTTTTTGGAGGGAATGGCTGAAAACCTTTTTAGCCGAAATACCGTGCCATTTACACAAAAATAACCCGTAATTGAGCCCAGAGATTTAAGTCAGGTAAAAAGTGAAATGTGTCTTTTCGTATGACACCATCCTGAGCAGGCTAATGGGTTTTTCTTTTTACCAATTGCCTCAGCTTATGTTTTCCTGTCTTCTTTGATTAATAAAAAGATGTATCCGTTAGCATTTCTCCAGTTTGCATGCAGAGAAAAAAATATATTAGTCTGAGAGATTGCTTTATTTGTTTGCTATAGTGGTAGGGAGTGACGTGATTTTGTGAAAATGTATGTCATGTGGGGCATTAACTGCTCGGCGTAGTCTGTGAGATTATGGAGAAATTTGAACCATTTCGAGATACGTTCGAGTGTCTGCCGTTTTACGCATGGGCGTGTGCGTGTTTCAATTACCTCTTAGCAATGCACAGGTTATAAAGAGCAACAGTGACGATAATGGATTGTAGATTATAATGATCTTATTAATGATACGCTGATCGTGCTGATTATCATATTCGTTAGCATGATTAAGGTCATTGTAAAATGTGAAATTCACGCACGGGGCTTGTATTGTACTAGTTAATCATGATGGAACCTCATTGCTCCAAACTGCGTTTCATTTTAGAGTTGAATTTGTACATTGGGAGCTCTCTTGCTTGCACCCCTTGGTAGAATGCGCATATTTGTCTACAACATTTGGCATCTGGGTGAGGTTAATTAATTGATTGACATCTTCCAAAGGGTAGCGCTTGCCAGCTGCGTAGCCGTCACTGGAGAATTATAGTCGGGCAATATATATAATGTGGAATTTTCCATGGCGTGATTTTGAAAAATGTCAACCTCAAAAGCAATATGAATGGGTTATTCGTAAATGAGAGCAAAACTCCAATAACAGTGTAAGCAACAGAACTACTGTGACTTTTAATAAATAATACTAAATCTGTGCACGATATCACGTCTGGTGCCAGCCTAGTGTGCTAAGTGATTGCTGGTCTATTTTTCATTTGACCGTGGCCTTATCTTGCCAGAGGAGGAAGAAAAATGTTGAAATTCAGTGCGTGCGCAATCACAGCCACTGTTGGCATTGTCTGGAGCGCGTGCGAAGCAAACTAAACCGAGAGCATGAATCAAATTATGAGACGACAGTAATGTTACCGGTGCCCTGCTGCATTTAAGGAGTATATAATTTCACTTCCAGCATGCTGATGAAGTGCTAAGGCCGACGAATGTGCTCCGTTTAAAGTGTTGCTTTCCAACGGTTAGTCACCTTTTCCCCTTTCGGTGGGACCCCCGTATGGTTTGGGGCAGCGCACATGGCCTCAATGCAAAAACATGTTTAAAAAAAAATGTTTAAAAAAAAATGTAAAAAAAAAATGTTAAAAAATTTTTTTTAATGTTTAAAAAAAATGTTTAAAAAATGTAAAAAAAAATGTTTAACAAATGTTTAAAAAAATGTTTAAAAAAAGTGTTTAAAAAAATGTTTAAAAAAAAAGTTTAAAAAAAAATGTTTTGCCGTTCGAAATTCACCGGAGCACCGGTGGCTGCCACCTGTGTGTGTGGGCCCTGCCAGTTCAGAGAACAAGAGAAGAACAAAGTACATCCACAAAACACTGAACCCAGAGTGGAACCAAACAGTCGTCTACAAGAACATTATGCTCGATGAGGTACGTGTGTCAACACCGAGTGCTGCCCTTGCTCGTTTTAAACATCTACCCGTTTATAAATTAAGAGGTCATGTTTTTTTTGTTAATTGCTGTTTTATTGGCCCCTTTGTGAATTCATCTTTTTTCCTGTTCACAAAATATATGTATACAAGCCCCCTGGAATTGTCCCTCCGGTTCGCGGCAAGCTCTCTAATTTGAGCCCGATGCTGCTGAGCCTTTTGGCAGCGTGAAAACATGGAGAACCATTCGTCACGGGACAGACGGCCGCATGTCTGTGACTGCTGGCTCGACCTGCTTGCGAGCCAAAGTGGCGTTTCATTCGTCTCTTCTGGACAAATACTGTCCCAAAACTAATGAAGCCTTCAGCCGGTTTTGAACTAAGCGTTCTACGTGACCCAATGATGTTATTACTCTGAGTATTTGGTGCGGTGAGTGCTGCCACCGAGTACGTGGGTCAGACGTCACTTTCAGGGCGTCTCAGAAGTCATTCTGTGATATCCACCTCCACAGCACGTGCTTTGATTACACTGGTCAACACACTTTTTCTGGCATAAGGTATTCTAACGGTTTTAAGGGAATTTTGGGGTGCTGATTCCAAATCTGGCATCAGTTTTTGTCTATCAAATCAGGTTTTTGAGATATCAAATATTGCATTTTCAATAAAAACTGCAGAATAAAAATATTAAATAAATGTGGATATCTACATAAAATGATATTATAAACACACTATCCTAAAAATACAGCACCATATTTTAACACTAAAGCAGTCACTGACTCGCAACAACTTGCAATCATAAGTGACAGAATTAATTTCGGGTAAAATAAATTCAAATGTGGTATGCCGATAGTATAAAAATGAGATGTGATAGAGCAAATCTGAGATCAGATTTGGAATCAGCACCCTGAAATTAGCCTAAAACAGCTGCAAAAGCCCAGGCCAGAAAAAAATGTGTATCTTTTGTTGACCAGTGTAATGGGTGATTGTCCTGTTCTGCACGAGTTCCGAATGGATTCTTCCTCACGTGACATTTCACTGATCGCACAATCAGGATCGAATATCAGATGGAAAAGACTTTTCTATTTCCACTACATAGGGTGAAGTGCATTCAAGCGTAACATGATGATCGGTATCGATAGATGAAGAGTTCTAATGGTGCATGATTAACATTGAAATATCCACGACGGGGTCAATACTCTTTGCGTAATGAGATGCATTCCTATTCTTAGGTGTTTTCGGTAAAGTCACGTAGGTCACTTAGGTAAAACATCAAAATTAATAAAAAATAATAAAATAAATAATAAAAATAAAATAAATTATTTTGATGTTTTTCTTACGTGACTTTACCGAAAACACCTAAGAATATGATTCCTTGCAGTCACGAAAGCTTCAAGTCTAGAATTAAGATATGCATTCCTACCTCAAATCACGAAGTGTCGGTGCCGTTTGTGTGATCGCAGCTGAAAAGGAAAACGCTGGAGTTTTCTGTCTGGGACTATGATCGATTCTCCTCCAACGATTTCCTGGGCGAGGTATGAGAGTGCTTACTACTGCAGTTTTAAGTGGATCAATTTCATCTGTGTCCGTTGCATTTGGAATGTAACGGCTTAATGAGAACCTGTAATTTTGTATATTAAACATGAGCAATGGAAATTTTTTGGTAATGTTTGCCGCCGTGGTGTGATGGTTAGCGCACCGGACTTGCAATCCAGAAGTTACGCGGCAGTTGAAACATTAGGGGGAGTTTATTAAATCATCCTCGCCCCTGTCCACCCAGCTGCATAAATGGGTACACCACCATTATAGTTGATCGGCAGGTCACGTGCGGTCGGATAAAGTGTGGGTACTCTCACCTCTTCCAAGATTCCTGTCCGGTGTGGAAGAGTAGGCCACATACCTTCTTGAGGGGCTCTCTAGAGGACCCTCTAACGGAGACCTTTCCACCAGCAGTGACAAGACTAAGCAATTGTAGGGGCTGCACCTGTAACTAGTATTTATAATTGTTCTCCGTGAGCTTTCTCGCCTCCTTTGTAGGAGTGTTGGCGTCGTGAATGTTGTTGAACCAATGACAGTCCCGCACTAGTCTCTCTGCGTCTAAAACAAGAACAGAATGTAAATGTGATGGCAATTGCAGTAAGCTGGAGCGGCTGCCAGCGCGCAGACGTGTGCGTGCGGTGGGACCTTTTCTTTTGACCTCGAAAAATGCATCCCCGACGCTTTGGTGACAGCTGCGGTTCAACGAGATGAGCGTCGACCGTAATGGACGTGGCTGTTTCTGAGAGCGACGATTCGAGGTTCACGCGTGGGCGATCATTTTTTTTTTTTAAAGTCAGGCAATCCAATGTCTGTCAGGTTTTAATTAGGCCCAGAAGCGTGCCTAAGTTTTGTCGAGCACTAAGCCAGGCCGTTTTATTATCACCTGCGAACAGCTCGGCCCGGCGTGCAGTGAATGCTAATTTGTTTTGTCGTGCTCAGCGACGCTGATTGTGCACAGAGCCGTCTGCAATAACATGACGTGAACTCGCCTACAGTTGTCCAGTATTCGATTATTCTTCAGGTGTATTTATGTTAATGACACCAAGTGTATATATATGCAGTGGCAAGATGTTAACTACCTCGCCTGGGCTAGAGGAGGTCGTGGATTCAATCCCGACCCTGACGCCTGCTGTATATTTGGAGTTTGCATGTTCTCTCCGTAGTTGCGTGGATTTTTCTCCGGTTTCCCCCTCCCCCCCCCAAATTTAAAAAGAGCTACATAGCTCAGTGGGCCTTACTTGGTAAAATAAAAAATTGTTTAGTTGATATTGTTATTATATATTAGATGTGTAACAATCACCCTAAACACCTCCCCGCCCACCCCAAAACAAGATTTAATACATTATAACAACTTGGGATCACAATAACTGTATTGTTTTAATAATTAGATCACGTTTGTCTTTCTAGCATCTCATTTGTATTGTTTCTCATTTGGCTGTCAGCCAAATTTGTTACATATTCATGCAATTTGTCGAATAACTTCCACTCATTATTGCACACGTAGTGTATTGTTTGCGGCACGGGTGCAGTGGGATGTATGTTAATTGGTGATTTGATTAATTGAAACGTGCCTGTTGTGCTAAGCAATTTAACCGAATTACCAATCTCCATAATTATGATTTTGCATGAATCTTCGCATCTGAAACGTCGTACATTTGGTTACTTATTATTGTATTATTGTTTCTATACATCGACCTTGCTAGTCAGTGAAGACCCCCCCCCCCCCCAAGTCAGATATCAAAGGGTCGAGGTGTTTTCAAGGACACTGATGATGCTGACGATAAAGCGAGTGGCTTCACCCACACCCTGGTTGGCATTCATTACTTTTATACCCCCACAGTAAAAACATTTTTTTAAATATTTATACAACGTCTTGGCTTATGAAAAAAAGAAGCTAACATTAATGGTAATATATTAAAATGCCCGTTGATACATCACCCATTATTGATAATTATCACCCACTTGCTGCCTCAAAAATGAAACGTGTGTGTGCATTAGTCCATTTAAATGAAAGTGCACACTCTGGTCTTGTCATACGTTTACGGCTCGGGCCCAGCTACTGTGGGAAGTCTTTAAATTAATGATGTACACTTCTTAAATGCCTGTTATGATCTCTGCCGACACACACTGATCTCCGTCGTGGCTTCGTACAATGTACAAATGCAAATTCAGTTTTCCCAAAATGCTCATTATAAGCATATTTTGAGTTACCATTTCAGAGCAGGCAATGAAAGGTTGTTGATGGCCCAACAGCGCGCAGCACTGCAGCAAACGTGACCGCACGGAGCTGTTACTGACTTCGCCCAAGGCCCTCCCTGCGGAGCTACCGAATTCCTTTTTTTCCAGTGCACAACAGAGCCAGACCGGCATGGCTCAAGAGGCACCAGGTTGTCTTTTTTCCACTGCAGAAGCCTAGCCATGCCACCGACGTCATATACCGCAAACGAGTCCGAGTCACATGTGGATGACGGGGTAACGCTGTGTCTTAACAGCATACCGACTGACATGACATGCAGTAAACTCATCGTTAGACCTGCCCTTAGCCCACCTTAGCCCCGAACCGAATCCAGATGTCTTGTGAGGCCAGCTAGCATATCACGGTGTGGTTCTGGCATGGCTTGCAATGTAACCAGTGGAAAAATCACGTGCCCACTCTGACTTGGCTTGGATGTTCCAGTGGAAATAGGTGTGTATGTATGTTGAACTTCGTATGTGGCCAACCATGCAAATCGGAGGTGCGGGGGAGAGTCAACAAACGAATCACAAAAAGCAGTTCTCAAGAAATGAAATTTCAAACTAGATTTAAAAGTGCATAGCTCCAGTGGCTTCCTCATATCTGAAGGAAGAGGGTTCCAGACGGCCACAGAAGCGCATCTGAAAGCACGCGATGCAGTGACCATCTTTGTTCGATGGCCAGCCAAAAGCCGCTGCGGCGAGGATGACCGGAGTTCACCGAATGGTTTATGCTCCTTGACAACATCAGCGAGGTATTGCGGTTCATTTGTGGCAAACATTGACCTTATAGGTATGCGAGATCCTCCAGGCCCTCGGCTAGAACGCTATTCCCCTAACGTACCCTCGCATGACATACCCTCGCGATAATTAAGCAGTAAATAAATAGTTATTTCCCATCGGTTACTTTGCTAAACATTTTCCCGAGTAATCGATGGCGTGCAGATTGTACGGCGTCGCGCTTTTGACGTTTCGTCTAATTAAAATAAACACATCTCGTGCATCTGATGAGCACGGTTGGCGACGCACGGTGCCAAAAGAAGATCAACGCACGTGCGTACAACTTGACAGCAACGTGCATTTGTAAGCGTCGCGTATCGTAAAGGGCGGTGCGAGGGATTGGCAGACGCGCGGGGCCCCCGCTGCGATCGCGTTGCGACGCGGGGGCGGCGCGGAGGCCAAAACTCCGCCGACTGTTCCCGATCGGATCTCGCGTAGGTGCGCATCGAGCTGTCGGACGTGAGCCACCTGGACGGGGCCCAGCGCTGGTACCCGCTGCGGGAGCAGTCGGAGGGGGGCTCCCCCCCCAAGGCTCCGGGGCCTCAGAGCGGGCTGCCCCCCTCCAAGCAGCCCGTGAGCAAGAGCAAGAGCCACCTGGGAGTGAACGAGGGCACCAAGGGTGAGTGAGGCTCGGCGCGCGTGTGCACAGGCGCTACGGCCTCTCCCCAACACCTGAGCAATAGCAGTTCTCACGTGGGTGGTGGCGGTGGTGGGTGGGAAACGGTTTAGCACAGTAACGGGCACGGGTGGTGCATCGGCCAGTCATCTCAGTCGGTCAATCCATGGCACCTGGGTCTGTCCCGTGACCTCCTGCCAGCGGGCGTTCGTCACTTCACGTGGCCTCAACGCGCACATAGCCTGGCACGCACGCCGTGGGGACGTCACCGCCACTTAGTGGCGAATGGCGGTTGTTGTTGTTGGGGAGCGGTCATGTAGTTGAATTCCCGCTCACGACCAACACCAGTGACGATTATCTGAATTGGTCATGGGCCTCCCCTAGGTCGACACAGCCTTAAATGAGTACCCAGTCTGGCGTGTAAACATCACCACTGGAAGGACAAAGGCGGCCGGGCGTGGTGTTGGCCACCCACCCCCTCGTGTGCTGTACCGACCTTCATAGGTGCTCGCTAACAGCACTTGCCTCAAAAGTCCGTTCAGGCTATACGGGCATCTTTGTCTTTGGGGTGGTGTAGATAACCTGACAAGAGGTGGGGGCTATGCTCTAAAAGGCGTGGATAGACACTTTTTTGCCACGGCCAGACAAGTGCGTGTTGCGCGCAGCAACTACTCGCTAAGATGTGGTGGACAAAGCGGTTGCAGGCTACCAGAACCGGCCCTAGACCTTTGGGGGCCCTAAGCAAAATTTGGTTGGAGGCCCCTTTGATGTATGATTTTTTTCACCTACTAGCTAGCAGTGACTCTAGGGGGCCCTCTGCTGGCCACGGGGCCCTTTGCAATTGCAAGGGTCGCTTAGTGGCTGGGCCGGCTCTGCAGGCTACGATGATTAAGTTGCACGATTTAAGTCAGTTGTGGACCTGACTTAAGTGACGGTCTGTGCGGTGCTCGCACGGCATTAGCGGAGACTCCTCCTGTTGAAGCAAGTTGAAAGCTTCGCTGTTGCAATTTAGCACACTTCTGGTACACGGCGCGAAGTGGCCTTTATCACGATACGCAGTGCACGGCTAATACCACATGCGTAGCATTTGTACAGATTCATCGCCGAGAAATGAAATATTTTTTTTTCCTAAAAATACATTTGCCCTTAGAATTCTTTTTTAGCCATCATTTATTTTTGTTTGTATATTTCAACGGCTCATTTTCCTGTGAAACCCAAGGGCATTTACGAGTCTCATCTGTCAATGTCAAGGATTAAATGGCCCAAAGTTTTATATTTTTTTCTTATAACTGTAGGCTTTATTCAGAGCTAGGGCTTGAAGGTTAAAATAAGGCAAGGCGGCATTCAATCTTTGCTCATCCTTTCCCAAATGTATTTTAACTGCATTGTGTGTTAATTAATGACTTCCCACAATTTCTTGTTGTTGTAATTGTTCTTTTGTTGCCACTTCTCTTTGCCGAATCTTTGTGTCTCACCATAGACTACTGCAGGAATGTTTAGGCTTTGGCTCCCTGTACAATATGGGAATTTCCACTACGGCACTTGGGGCATCTGGTTCCTCGCTTCGCTTCCCCTTTGTTGACCCCGCCCGCCAAGTTGTCTGCACTAGGGAACCACGTGGGGGGTGGGGGGTGGGGGCAGGTGAGGATGAAGGGTCGGTCACATACCCATGGCTGCATCAAATCGACCGTGACTGTCGTAATTCACGGATACGAAAGGGGGCTCACCAGGCGAGACCTTAGGGGTTGGCATCAGAGGGTGGAAGCTGCACTGTCTTGGCGTGTGCTCTCACACTTGACTTGAACTGTTACAAGCAACCCGTTGCACGTGGAATTTGAATAGATTTGCACGTGGAATGTGGCAATTAAATTGTTCTTGACTTAATCAAGAAATGGGGTTGCGATGGGTGGGACGCACAGAGGGTGGAGGAGGCCAGATCAACGCGAAAGACATCGGAGTGGACATCCGGAGGTCAGCAACCAAGGGCAAGACCTACGTGCAGATGGCAGGAGACTGTCAAGTTCAAGTTCATTTATTAGGTATAGCCCTGTGAGCCATTCAGCTCTTGAATCGGGTGCAACCGCAACAAACAAAAAACAAAAACATGAACAAAAAACATCAGAGTGGACCCTGGAGGTGTTAACTCGACAACAGCCACAGGATCTAGGACAGACGGGACGGTGACGTGCGTTGGCATCAACGGCGTCGGTGACGAGGACAGCTTGGCCTAATTCATTGTTTCTTTCTAGATTTGAAGCTTTCGTGACTGCAAGGATTCATATTCTTAGGTTTTTTCGGTAAAGTCACGTAGGTAAAAAATTGTAATTAATAAAAGTAAAATAAAATAAAAATCACGACGTTTCGGAGGCAACACAAGCTTCCACCTGAAGACGGAAGCTTGTGTTGCCTCCGAAACGTCGTGATTTTTATTTTATTTTTATTTTACTTTACCTTCGTGACTTTACCGAAAACACCTAATTCATTGTCTCTATCTAGACATCTTGTGATTTCCCATGACCGCAGTTGCTCCACGTTGAGTTGACCTCCTCCCGTTACCCACCCTCTCCAGAAGCCCCGCGTCCACCAGGCAGCAAGTCTCAGAGCAGCATGGCCGACTCGAGGTCCGGAGTAGGCGGCTCATCCTCCTCCACCACATCCGCGTCAGGGGCAGCGGCCGCAACAGCCGGGGCACCCGGAGGGCATCAGCGACTCTCTCTGTCCGGGCCACCGCAGCAGCAGCAGCAGCACGCCGGGATGCCCGACTCCAAGTCGTCGTCCGAAGGGCGTCTGCGGACCTCGGCATCGGCCACGTCCTCTCACGCCCCGTCGCGTTCGCAGAGCAAAGGCAGCATCACGCAGAGTCACCTGGAGAGCGCAGGTGCAGCCATCGCCGCCGCAGAGGCCGCCGTGCAGCAGCTCCAGCAACAGCAGCAGCTGCCAAGTAAACGGCGACGCAGACCCTCTACCCAAGCCGCAGAATGAAGTCACGCTCAAATTATTTGTTGTTTTTTTTGTTAATTTTTTTTTTGACGTTCGTCGTAGGTTTTGTCCGCGTGATTTTTTTTTTTCTTTTACCGTTCGCTCGCATTTTTCCTTCCGTTGCACCGCTCGCTCCACCACCGCCTTGCCTGCTCTTTCGAGACTCTTTTCGTTCCCCCTTTGCCGTCAGCAATGCTCGCCGCCGCCGCCAAGGTTGCTGCATCGTGCATTTCTGATGCGTGAAGCAACAGCAGCTGTTGCGGCGTTGAGTCAACGATCAAAGGCACCGGAACGCAATCTGCCATCTTGCTCATTTGTCTAATAATCCTGGCCTCCACCGGCTGAGGTTTTTGTTTTTTTATATATTTTTTAACTGCCTGTTTGCCTCGTTCACTCAGCTGTGGAGTGGCTCCCCCCACCACTGAATAGAAATCTGAGGAAGCCCTCGCTGAAATTTTTGATAATTATTTTATTACTTTAAAAAAAAACTTCAAGTGTAAATATGCACGTGTAATATATTAACACCGTTTTTGAAACAAAGCACAAATTTGTAAATGTGTAAGTGCTTCCTCATGTTTCTTTGGCCCTGTTATCTGACCTTTGTGTGTTCACCTCTGAATTTCCTGAGATCTTTTCCTGGGCACCAGTAACTTCGTTAAGATTTTCCTATCAAAACAGCCACATGTGTTCGTCTTTTTTGAGATTCATATTTTTTGTTTAACTATTTCATAATTTTAGTTGATCATGAAAGCATGTTTATTTACGTCTCGTCTCATCAAATCTTTTCCCTTGATATTTCACTATTCCTGCCATCAAGATGTCCTTGCAATCTGTCAGTTGTAAAAAAAAAAAACCTTGTTATTGGATAAGCAATGTTATTCAAAACATTTTAACAAAAAATATATATATACTTAATGGCAAGCTGTACACTAGTTTGAAACTTACATAACCACAAATTTATCCTTCATGGGTTTAGATTTCTCTCTCCAAGTTATAATGCAAGCATACATCCATAAGCACACATCATCTCTACTTATCACGCATTATTGTGGGAAATTAAAGATTTAGCATTCATCATTTATCTACATTTATGACATAATATAGCTAATTGTAAAGCAGTTAAATAGTAATACTTAAGCTGATTGCAAGTAAATATTTTTTTTTCCATTTAATCATCTGGTTATTCACAGTTTTACATCCAAGTTTATTTTTTTTATGTAAATCGTCATCCTTTGCAGCAGTTAACAGATCTGATGAGCATGTGTCTTGAAAAGAACTGCAATTTGTTGCGCCATTAATTGCTGTATAGCTAATTAATTTTTATTTGCAGTGTTATCTTGATTTGACGCAGCTTCTTGTATGCTGGCTTATCTGCTTAATGGCTTTACTGACTGATAGCTTGTTTAACAACAGGTTATTCTCACGATATTTAATGCAATATTACTTCGGCGTTTACCAATAATATAACAACATTTGGCTCATAAGTGCAAAATTATCCGTTCTACATTACCAGTGATAATAATAAAAAATGTTTTTATTATATGTATATTAAACTCAAGTTAATTGATAAACACGATGCAGTAAAAAAGATAAACATGATGCAATAAACATCGACACAATGTGAAGGAATCGTGAACGATTACGGTCTAATAATCAGTTCTGTTAACTAATTCTGTCAGATTTTGATTTTTTTTTTCAGTTAATTTTTTCAAAATCATCAGTAGTTGAGTGACTTCATTTGAGAAGACGACGAAAAAATCAAAAACGAGAATCAGAAAAAAAAACCGACGGAACAAAAGCAAAGTAAATAAAAGCACACCCGCGGGGGCTCTCTCGCTTTTCACTTTTCGCTTTGCTCCCAGCGGCTAAGCCATCTAAAGCCCCAAATAATGTGAAGAAGCACAGACACAACATAGCCGGGGTGCTGCCGCCGGTGCGGAAGAGCGGGCCGAGCGGGCCGTCCGGACCGCCGGACGGGGTCGTCCCAGAGCCCGGGGACCTCGCGGCGCAGCTCGTCATCCGCAAGGTGCAATCGGACAGCCCCGCCAAGTCCGACAGAAGTGAGCTGCGCGCGGCAAAACCACTGGGGCCACGCGATTGTGACGTAGGAAATTCAGCTATAGCTGTGTAATCCCCCCCCCCTTCCCTCCCCCATGCGTATCTCCTAATACTTGTAGATTTGAAGCTTTCGTGACTGCAAGGATTCATATTCTTAGGTTTTTTTCGGTAAAGTCACGTAGGTACATTTTTTTTAAATAAAAGTAATATGACAAATTAAATAAAAATCACGACGTTTCGGAGGCAACAGCAACACTGTTTAACACTGTCTGTTGCGCGCCAAGTCGATTTTAATGATTATTATCTCTATAAAAAAACTACATAATTGAGCCATTCCCTGAGTGTTCATGCCGATGCAGTTGAAATAATTCTACATTTCAAAGGGCCCCCTCCTCCGCACTAGCCACACAAGTTACAAGAGCTGGGCTTATTGGAAAGAGGTCCACTAATTGACCCAAAAAGTGTGCCCTCGATACCTGGTCATGATTTGACAGCCTCGACGAAGGAGGAAACCCTAAAGCTGCGACGATCCATCTCAAGCCACCCAGTGACTGCACATTGTTAAGCAGCTTCGTCAGGAAGTGCTAAGAATCAGTGTCGTTAAACATCAAACGGTTGAAAAGACACCCTATACATATGCTGCACCTTTGTGTAATGACATCTTGCTGATTGGATCGTTAATGTACGTCAATGGTAAAGGGTGATTGTGACGGCAGTGGGGGAGAAACGCCTCTCGCTCAGAATCAGACTCTTTGTTCATTCTGGAGGGATGCGATGAGCTACAAAGCTTGTTTTCGCGAATGGCCAGTTGGGGCCGGTGTCAGAAAGTTACAACAACGATCGATACAAAAAAACACCATAAGAGTGCAAAAGTATAGGAAAAGTAAACCAACCGCAAGAAAAAGATACTTTTTATTTTACCAGGTAAAGTTCACTAAGCTATTAGCTTCATTTTCACCCATTTAAAGCCACTTTCAGCCGATATTAATCTTCATTTTCCACCTTTAAATGCATCAATGTTATTGAGAAATAAATCTCGCTTTGTGCAAATATTTAGCTTATTAACTGTAAACGTATGGGTGTTTGGTGCTGTTGCCGTTGCACTGTAACTGAAACAATTTGAAAACAACACTCCTGAATTGATGCTGTCAGTGGATTCGTATAAGTGTTCTAGTTCGTGTTGTAGCAAATACGCAAGTCACAGAAATAATTTGCCTTCGCTTCTCCACACCCGAATCTTATTATTTCATCTGATAATCGCCTAATGTTCCACACACTTCCTTTGGAATACTGCAATGGACCAACATTTTTTTAGTGTTTCAAAACCAACATTTTAAATTCCAGATCATGCATGCATAAATATGAAACTTACCAGATAGACTTTACTCATCCGTAGCCTTAAGAAAATATGCTATTAGCTAAATAAATCAATATTTGCATATATGAACCTTATGGCGGTACCCCGGGGTTACCACAGTACCCCGGCTCTCGCATCATGTCCGTGATGCAGTCATCTGTAGTCTGTCAATGGTCGGCGATGCAGCAATCGACTCATCTCGACGAGCTGTACACGACGATGCACCGCCACGGTGCGTACCGCGAGCCTTCAGGGTTTCAGGTGCAATCGTTCTCGCTGCAGTTTCGACATCGCGGAGTGGCACCGATGTCGGATTGATTGGTACCTCAGTCGCTGAGTTAAGTAACACGCCTGGACAAAATAGTGTCCCAGAAATAAAGTATTTAATTGCCTCGGCCATTTTGTATTATTTGGTACCCCGGAGTTACCGCCATAAGGATCAAATGAAGGCGTTGGTCTTTTCTCGGACAATAATTGCACAACGATATTCACAATGACCGGGCATCGATGCCATAGCCTGTGACCACCGAGCAGGGTTGAGCCTGGATAGCCCTTGGACGGGTGACCCCCATGCATACCAGGTTGTTCTAGATAGCTGCGTGGTTACGAGGTCGTCAGCAGAAGACAGTGCAGCTAAATAAATTATTAAGTCGTACCTCTATGTTCCCACCTTCACAAGTCCCGCACTGACCCAGCATGGTGACGTGTCGTCAAATAGACTCCCCCAACCCACACGGCGTGGAGAGGCGCTCATCCACCAGTGGATTGGCACTGATACGATACATGTTATACTAGGGATATGGTTATCACAGCGTTGGGAAACTTGGGGGATTAGTTATTACCGAATCCTCCGTGTGGTAGCCGTGAGAATGTCTGTGTTTTTGCTCTTGGTTCCTCCAAAGGTCAACACAAAGCGCCCAGAGAAATTGTATTAACTGTGGTTAATCTGGAGGTCAACGATGGCACCAACACTGACACTGGAAACAAAAAAAAACTCTTCTTGGTTCTTTCGGTAAAGTCACGTAGAAGGAAATAATAAAAGAATAAAAATAAAACATAATAAAATAATTCTCACGACGTTTCGGCTACAACGCAAGCAGCTGTCCTCAGGTGACTTCTTCACTTCTACGTGACTTTACCGAAAGAACCAAGAAGATGAATCCCTGCAGTCACGAAAGCTTTAAATCGAAAAAAAACCTCCTTTTACTAACAGCCAACTTGATTGTAAATCAGTGTTGGCTCACTCTGATTAAATTTCTGTATAAAGCGCAAAGAAATGTATATTGTAGTAAATTGCCATCGACGTCTGCTATAATGAATTATTATTATTATTATATGTTCTGTGATGCTAGCCTACATGGCACGAGAGAGAAAAAGTGCTACACACTCGCACAATGCGTGTGCTCAAGGGGGCACCAATCGTTTAGAAATAAAATCTTCTCACAACCGCAGCCAACGCATCTCCTTTGTGAGACTCAGTGCCCCGTTCTCAAACTTTGTTTGAATGTCATTCTCCACGCCGTACACTTCAGTTCCATTCGCAATTCATTAGTCTCGGTGCAAAATAAAATGCCGCAGGATAAGAAGAAGAAGTGGCCCATGAACTATGTTCCTGAACTGTTCGCAGTAAGAATAACGTTAATCAAACGCAGACGTGGACCCGTGAAATGCACACAAATCAGGCTCGTGTGCTTTTAGTGGAATTGCCCTGCATCGTGACCCTTTTACAATTAGCGGCCGTCTGACTGCAACATAATTGCTTAAAGATACGAGAACAATATTTCGTGTGCCGATTGGTAGTTTCAAGATAATTGCTAATTATTAAGACTTTAATGGTCATTCAAATGAGAAATTCCAATCTGATTATTTTTATGTTATTAATTTCTGCATGTTATGTGATGGGGAATTTAAAGAACATTTGTTTGCCTTATTTCAGTACATTATTGCTTTTCAATCAATAATAATGTTTTCATGGAAGGTACCTCACAACACTATTTTTTTCTGGATATGAATGTCCTGATTTTATTAAATTTGACTTTGCTATTAAACACTGCACTGCCATCCCTCTTTGGAGCAGATGGTCCCTCAATCTAATTATTTACGGTAATTTTTTAGATGTCTTTGTGGATCAACTCCTAGATTGACTTCCCATCACTGTGCTATTAATCATCAGGGTTTTTTAACCATACTTCACCATGCCAATCAGTGGTGGTTGGCGAATGCTGGGACGAGCACCGGTGCAGACATCACTCGCCAATGATGTTAACCAATTATTTACATCGGTAAAAGCCAGACGTGTATTTACGGGCTGAAAATAGCATTGCCTGGTCATTAGAGCCCTCGTCGTATCACCTGCTATTTCTGACCAACTGAAGCGCTCAGCCCACGATTCATAACCCAATGGTTGAGCAGGGCGCGATTGAGAATGGCCCGGTTGAGTGGGGAGCGGTTGAGTGGGGAGCGGTTGAACAGGGCCCAGTTGAGCGGGGAGCGGTTGAACGGAGCCCGGTTGAGTGGGGAGCGGTTGAGTGGGGAGCGGTTGAACAGGGCCCAGTTGAGCGGGGAGCGGTTGAACGGAGCCCGGTTGAGTGGGGAGCGGTTGAGTGGGGAGCGGTTGAACAGGGCCCGATTGAGTGGCGAGGGGTTGAACAGGGCCCGGTTGAGTGGGGAGCGGTTGAGCGGAGCGCGGTTGAGCGGAGCGCGGTTGAGTGGGGAGCGGTTGAGCGGAGCGCGGTTGAGTGGGGAGCGGTTGAGTGGGGAGCGGTTGAGCGGGGAGCGGTTGAGCGGGGAGCGGTTGAGCGGGGAGCGGTTGAACAGGGCCTGGTTGAGTGGGGAGCAGTTGAGCGGAGCGCGGTTGAGCGGTTGGTTGAACAGGGCGTGCTGGCTGCGGGCAGGGAGCTTGGCGAGTCAGCGCGTGGGTGCCTCACCACAGGCAGGCCGGTGAGCCAGCGCGCCCCGGACTCCTCCATCTCAACGACGTCGTCCGTCAGCAGCGTAGGCAGCGGCTACAGCGTGGACAGCGAGGGCAGCTCGGTGCTCACGGACGACACGTTCTCCGGCACGCACCGTGAGCACCGCGGGTAAGCGGCTGTCTCGCATCTTATTTCCTTTTCTAAATGTTTTCGCACTTTTTTGTTTGATCTCACGTTACAGTTTTATTGCGAGTGCGCCATCACCGTTATGTCACAAGACAGAGAATATATTCGGATTTCTCGCAGAAGCTATAAAGATCCTTCGTGTTAAAGGACGGACCTTGGAAGCGGATATCGGAGAACTAATTCTGAGATTATTTTAAATTACTTCGGGTCCACATGGTAGGGGCCAGCCCTTGCCTGCACACCTTGCCACAGAGAGGAATGTACCTCCCATGACGTTCAAACCAATAGTTTTAATTCTCCAAGCTAGAATTTAGCCAAATTAAGTGAAGAGCAAATTGTAATGTGAACTCAATTTGATCACAGGCAGATCCCTGGATTGGAGCTCAGGAACTCAGCGGTTGCCAGCTCAGTGCTCTGATCTCTGCGCCACCCGGCCACCTTACCCCCACATCTCACTAAACACAATTAGCTCATAAAACTCACGATGTGGTTGATGTCATGAGAGTCAATGCCACTGGCACCGTCACAGTTTTCTTTGTAGCTTTCTTCAGCTGGAAGCCGGAACTCTTTCTCAGCAGACACCCAACCTCTGCTCTTAAAGTGTCCCAATATCTGGCTTGAGGTCTCTCCCTTGGTCATCGACTTCTGGATGATCACTACAGCGTCTCCAGCTTGATATTATTTGTCCTGGAAAGGCTTGCCGAGGCTCAATGTTATTTTCTTCTTCAGAATGATTTCATGTTCGATGGAAATGGGGTATAAACTCGCAGTGTTATTTATGTGTGCATGTTGAACTACTTTCGCACCGTACATATCCAACTGTGCTAATCGTAGGTGTGGGGGAAGGACAACGAACTAAACACAAAAAGCAGTTTTAAAGAAATTAGTTTTCAATTATGTATGCATTAGATTGTCCTAAGTATACACATGAGGATGTCATTTTGAACATAGTTACCTATACATTCAAAAAGTATGCCTTATTTGCATAATAGTATAAATATATGCACCACAGCCGTTCCCGCGTGGATAAAAAAGTCCGTCAACTCCAGTACGTCCAACACCGTGCAATACTTAAACACATTTTTTACGGCAATTTATACCTCATCAAATAGTTTCTGCCCTAAATTGCGGTCCTTATTGGTCGGCAGACTATGCCGCAAGTGAAAACCTGCCTCGTGATTACGCTTAAGGATTGTCTCGCATCTTTATATATTAAAAAAACCAAAAGCGTCTGAAACGTACGTCCGCAGTCGCTGAACTGGCCCCAACTCAGGCACGGAGATACCGCTCAACGTTGCTCGTGACCGGCCCGAGAGCTGCCGTCCCTTGCTCTGGGCTGCCACGTTCTTGACGCTTACCATCAGAAGCTGTTTTGTTTTGTGTTGCTGCTTAGGTTTGCCCACACCGTAGGCAATTCAGCTATAGCTGTGTAATTTCCCCCTTCCCTCCCCCATGTGTATCTCCTAATACTGTTTAACACTGTCTGTTGCGCGCCAAGTTAATTTTAATTATTATTATCTCCAAAAAAAACTACATAATTGAGCCATTCCCTGAGTGTTCATGCCGATGCAGTTGAAATAATTCTACATTTCAAAGGGCCCCCTCCTCCACACTAGCCACACAAGTTAGAAGAGCTGGGGTTATTTGAAAGAGGTCCACTAATTGACCCAAAAAGTGTGCCCTCGATACTTGGTCATGATTTGACAGCCTCGACGAAGGAGGGAACCCTAAAGCTGCGACGATCCATCTCAAGCCACCCAGTGACTGCACATTGTTAAGCAGCTTCGTCAGCAAGTGCTAAGAATCAGTGTCGTTAAACATCAAACGATTGAAAAGACACCCTATACATATGCTGCACTTTGTGTAATGACGTCCTGCTGATTGGATCGTTAATGTACGTCAATGGTAAAAGGGCTTTTAATTTGCACAGCAATGCGATGTGGGGTAATTGTTAATTGTCACGCGGGGGCGCTGGTGCAGAGCCACGGAGACTCCGCAAAGGGTGCCGGGTCAATGGCTAAATCAACACTCATAATGGGACCTCTCTGCCGCCGTTGGCGCTGTTAAAATTCTGGGCCCTACTTCGTTGCGTTTGTACCTCTGTTCACATGCTGGAATGTGTTGTTGGCGAGTGTGGTTCGCGCACCGTGCTATGAATCTATGGTTGCCACCTGCCTCATTTTCCCAGGATTGTCCGTTTTGTTAAAGTAGCAGCTGTCCCGAGAAATCTGTAAGTCTTCCCCGAACAATACAAGTAAAAAAAATGTCCCTTTTGTAATAATACTCTGCTCAAGACAATGCATTTGCATGGAGTTCTCCCCCCTGCTGGTATTGTGAAATCATCTTCTTCCCATCATATGCCACGGCGTTTTTTTTATTTTGGACCTCAGAGGTAGTAACCCCATATGAACCTGGCAACCCAGGTTCGATGTCTGGCTATGCAGCCTTTTAAATCGTAATGTGAGACCTGAGCTTTAAAGGAGTTCCTGATCACAGCGTCGACATTAGCCGTGAGGAATCAAATAAAGGGCACACACACCACCCCCTCTGTGCATGATCCTCCTTTTAATAGCTGCTCACCGACTGCTCTGGGCCAAAGTAGTCGATGAGGATAAATGTGGAGCCATTAATATTTAATTTTTTAAAAAGGGACAGTTTAGTCTCCAGCGAGAATTTGGTATTTTGAGTTATCCTTTTCATACCTCCGTCGGCGTTATTTCTCTCAAAGTAAGACGAGAGAACAAAACGGTAATTTATTGCGATAGGGTATAGCCAATACATTGACCGCTCTTCATCATCATCATCATCAGCCGCAGCAGCCATGGTCAATCCACTGCTGGATGAAGGTCCTCCCCAAGCTGCCGCCACCAACCCTCACCATCCAGCAGTACGACGATCCAACGAGCTAATTTCATAGTTCCATCTCCTCTGTGGACTGGTTTTAATTTGAGTTATTTTCACGTATGATTTATTTACAATGTTAATGTTTAACTAATACGAATTAATTTTAGATTTTTTTCGTTTCAGTTAATTTTCCAAAACACAGTCAAATCTGTGCTTAATATTTCTTCACAATTGCAGTCAATAAAAACATGGCTTATTTTTTACGCCTAAAAACTTGACTGCAGCTAAGGTTTAAACATAGAAACTGGCACCTGATATAAAGGTAATGTGTCATTTTCTACCAATGGCTCAGGGCCACCCATGGATATATGAGCACGGCACCACACGTGTAACCTATGACGAGACTTTCTCTTGACTTGATGACGACGATGAGGATGACGATGACGGATGTCCGTGATTTTATTTTCGAAGCGGGAGTGGAGCGGCCCAAAGCAGTGGAGTCACGAGCCAGGCTGGAGGGCTCTCCAGGCAGGACCCACTACACCTGACAGACGGTAAATCCCTACCTAACACGCCGGCCACGTCCAATATGTCCACATTGAAATGAAGCGGGGACACACAACGGAATCACAATTGCCCATTCCACCGAGTGTTTCACTTTGAGACTGTCAAGGAAGGTCTATACGTTAACGTCAAGTCCGCCTTGATGGCTGAGCCAAGCCCGCTGGCCGAGTTGCTGCCCTCACAATGAGGCATTTGAGGACGTCACCATTGCAATATGCCACCTCTGTTGTTAATTAGCGAAATCAATTTTTGTTGGTGCTGGCAGTGAGTTAATTTTGCAGCAGCCGATCAAAAGATAGTGTGTTTTTTATGATATTAATTCCACACCACATTCAGTCAGACTACTTAATAAAGGGAGTTTTGTTGAGTTAGATGGCCAATTAGTAAGGATTGTCAGCTAAACAAAACGTGACAACTATATGCTACTTCAACCCACAACATTTACAATTTTTGCACGACATTTCGCTGGTAATTACAACCTGTCTCATCAGGCGATTTTTACAGAATTGTACCAAAATCGCCTGATGAAGCTGGTTGTAATTAGTTACGCGATCTAACCTGAAAAAAAGCGTTTTTATGAATAGCATTGGTCACGGTGCTTCTCTTTACTGTACGAACAAAGTGCTCAGGAATGTTAGGTCGTTTGTCTTATTGGAAAATGGAGTGACTTCCTGTTCAGCGGTGCAAAATTGTAACGGCGCCTTTGATGCACCGCCTATGCGTCTGTCAACACGGTGTTGCTCAGCGTGGCTTCGCTCATTGAAATGTCACCCAAGCGATGCATTGGTCAATGCGCAGGGCAATTGCATGGATCATAGGGCTTGACACGGTCCACCTTCCCGCAGAATCCAATGTTCTCCGTTCGCTGTCAATTCAAGAACGCGCATTACGCATGCCTGTTGATGGGCCGCCCCCGAGAAACAGGACTGCTTCCAGCACGCCTTCCTTGAGAGTTCCCATCTCACACAGTTTTGAGGTCGGTTAATTGTCAGCGCGTATCTGATCGCCCGAGCATTAGGTCCGATCAGAAGCGTTATCGTCAGAAAATCTTCGTCAATGCAAGAACGAACTGTCTAGCACCCTACCTGTGCGGACAGAGGTTAAGATAAAGGTAAAGATGCTGCTGCCATTCAGCTTCTTGCTCATGCCACTGCCTGTCGAAGGACCTCCGCTCAAGGGAGATTCTCGAAGACCCCCACTCGGTGGCATTTCGACCTGCTCTTCCACCACCCTGGTTCGAAGTCTCGGGAGAGGTGGAAGGGTATCCACACCTCACCCCACCCACACGCGACCTGCCAGTAGATTAACTGCGGTGCACTCATTTATACTGTTTGGACAGAAGTGATCAAAAATGGCAGCCCAGCCAAGATACCGAGAGAGAGCATGTCATCGACGACCTCCATGGCGTCGCACGCGTCCGATGGCTCCGGAAGCTCCAAAGGGTATGGACATGCGTGTTTGTGTCTGCGTGTTTGTGTCAGCGTGTTTGTGTATGCGTGTTTGTGTATGCGTGTTTGTGTATGCGTGTTTGTGTATGCGTGTTTGTGTATGCGTGTTTGTGTATGCGTGTTTGTGTCTGCGTGTTTGTGTATGCGTGTTTGTGTCTGCGTGTTTGTGTCTGCGTGTTTGTGTATGCGTGTTTGTGTCTACGTGTTTGTGTATGCGTGTTTGTGTATGCGTGTTTGTGTCTGCGTGTTTGTGTATGCGTCTTTGTGTATGCGTGTTTGTGTATGCGTCTTTGTGTATGTGTGTTTGTGTATGCGTGTGGACAATTGCGCGCCTGTGTGCTTTTGGCGGGCGGTGGCATTGCGGTTAGTGCATTGCCCTATGAACCCTTCGACGTAAACTCTATTCCCGTTACGGCCGACACCGGCGATGAACATCTGAACTTATTCTGGGTCTCCCCGAGGTCAACTCAGCCTTCAAATAGTACATAATGCGCTGTGCAAACATCATAAAAGGGGGGACAAAGATTGCCAAGCGTGGTTGTGGCCGCACAAACCCCCTGTCCGTTTGCTAGCCTTAATAGGTGCTCGCTAACAGCACGTATCTCGACAGTCTGCGTAGGCTACATGGGGGATCTTTGGCTTTGCTCTAGCATTTGTGCACGCATGCATTGGCAGTATGTGTCCAGCCTTAGCGGTAACACAATTAGTCTTATCAGGCCACAGCTGCCACTGAGCAAGCAGCCCTGTTAATGGGAAGAAAACACGTCTTTGGATAAGGCTGCATCCGCAAAATGGACAACGGGGGGTTAATTTCATGTCCCGTACAACACAAGAGCAACTGATGTCCTGGCACTAATTAACTGAAGGGGGGAAACTATATATCTCAAGTGTGCTTGGCCCAACTCGCTTGTCAACTCCCTCCAAAGATGCAATTTTCACCTTGGCTATTTTTAGGGTCTCCAAAGATAATGCTGGTAAAAAAGGGTGGAAGGATGTAAGTGATGAACAAGTCTTGAATCGTTTTTTTTTTAATCAGCTAGAGGATTGAAAAGTGTTTTATTTATTTGCTTACGTGTTTATGTGCGTGTTACCCTCTTATTAAACAAAAGTGTTTGAACCTCCATTGCATCTATTTAAAATTATCTCAGCGGGGATACAACACATTTTGAGTTTTCATAACTGTTAATTGTGCCCTCGTATCAAAAGGATAGTAGCACTTTAAGTGTGAAAAAGGTGTGATCTCCTCTCAAATCAGATTCTTCTCCTTTCGTGTGGCTGATGTAGACTCAGAGCAACAATTACAATTGCACATTCAGGTGGTCAAGCCAGATAACCCCGTCAAGAGTAGCGGAAGAGTGTATCGCTGTGATGTCTCCTTCCTATTTGTGGATCAGGCATTGCGTCGTTAAATGTTGTATGATCTGTTCAAATCAGATGAACAAGTTTGCATACTCATTGCGTTTTATGTTGCACAATTATCCTTTTATAGCCTTTCATCTGTGCCATTCAATGAGTAACTAGTTAACATGTCAATTCGTAGTCATCAACCTTAACAATCATTGCAGAGAGGGGCAGTTGAATGATTACTAGGAAGAGAACGGAGTGTTAAAAAAATTAACCCGTAAAAACTAAGTTTTTCACTATAAATCCTTTATATGCGTGTTCAATGGGCCACAACCCAGCCCACATTGGTCTTTGAAACGGGCGGCTAGAGTCCTCTCGTCCTCTGGCTTGAGATGGCTGCCACCTATGGGTCAGATGATTGCCTGCCACCATTAAGCAATTGGTAATTAAATATAAAAAAAATTACCTAAAAAGTGTAACATTTTGGAGAAAAAAGATTCACGAAAAGAAATTGTCACGCACAACGAGTCTGTGTGCAAAATGTCAGCTCGATTGGATCACGGGAAGTGGGTTAAAAAACGACCGAAAGATTTGCACGGTCGTAAGCGCGCAAGCAAGCAAGCGAACTTAATATAAAGGATTTAATAACTGTTAGCCTCAGGAGGTGTCAATACAGTAAGGTCAAACACACCGTACAATAACTTTCTTGCTTAGCCAATGGCACATAGAGAAATGACACAGTTTAACAAGATTTGCATTGGTTAGTTCTGGGTTAGAAAAATATTATCTTGGCATGTGCAGCTTAACTTGTAAACATGCACTTTCTGACGCAGTCATTCACCCAGTTCCAATGAAAATGATAATTGACGTGTTTTTATCAATCCACTGCTGGATGAAGGCCTCCCGATTATGTATCAGCGATAGTGGTTACAGGAGTCAGTGCGGCTTAGTTAAGAGGAGGAGCCCAGGACTAGTTTGGGATATCAGTCGCCACTGATGTTTGCCATGGCTGGGAATTTAACTCAGGTTGCCATGGTCTTAGTGCAATGCACTCAGCATTTTCAAATCGCCTTCCCCCCCCGCCCTCCTCTGCCTTCCCACCCCTTTCGCTGCTCAATGGTAAATATGTTGATGTTTGATCAGTATGAAAAAGAGTGCAGTGAACTTTGTTAATTTTTTATGTTTCACGCATCACATCCTGCAGTGGACTTACAAAAGGGAGTGTTGTGCGTGTATGGTGAAGTGAGTCGTCGAGATGTATGCGAAGTACATTCGAAAGTTACGACGACCGGAGTAACGCACACAAAATGTCATATTGACCACCTCCTCTTGTACCGTCATTTAGATGCAAACCACCAGTCACTTTGAGGTGTCTAACTTTGACACAGTTACATACGTATTGACGTTACACATGTAAGTGACGTGCGAACGACACACTGCCCACATCTCGAGGACGTGCGCGGTGCCACGTTCCCCGGCACGACGCAGCCGCGTGAAGCCGATGCCCCCTCTGACCGGCACATCCCCCTGGCACCACCGCTCCATTGAATGCGAATGCCCCCCCCTCTCCCACCTACCTCCTCTCCTGGCCGCCCTCCTAACCCCCCCCCCCGTGCCCTCGCCACCCCCGTGCTGCCCCCTCCCTCCCCCAGCACGTTCAGTCCTGACTCCCCTCCGTGGGTTCCCGGTAGAGACCCGGCGGGGCCCGGCGTGCGGCCCAACGGGGCGCTGGCGAGCGGGGGCCGAGCGGCGCGCGGGGAGCTGGTGCCCAACACCGACCTGGGCCCCGGGCAGCTCATGGGCGCCAGCAAGTCGGGTAGGCAGCCCCCCCCCACCCTCCCCAACACCTCCTCACCAACACCTCTCCACCACCACCACCACCTCCCCACCACCACCACCTCCCCACCAACACCACCACCACCTCCTCCCCACCACCACCACCTCCTCACCAACACCACCTCCCCACCACCACCACCTCCTCCCCACCACCACCACCTCCCCACCACCACCACCTCCCCACCACCTCCTCCCCACCACCACCACCTCCCCACCACCACCACCACCTCCCCACATCACACCTCCCCACATCACCACCCACACCACCACCTCCCCACCACCTCCTCCCCACATCACCTCCTCCCAACACCACCTCCCCACATCACCACCTCCCCACATCCCACCTCCCCACATCACCTCCCCACATCACCACCTCCCCACCATCACCACCTCCCCACATCACCTCCCCACATCACCTCCCCACATCACCACCTCCCCACATCACCACCTCCCACATCACCACCTCCCCACATCCCCCCCACCCCACATCCCCACCCCCCCACCTCGCCACCCCCCCACATCACCCCCTCCCCACATCCCCACCTCCCCACATCACCACCTCCCCACATCACCACCTCCCCACATCACCACCTCCCCACATCACCTCCCCACACCACCACCTCCCCACACCACCACCTCCCCACATCACCACCTCCCCACATCACCTCCTCCCCACATCACCTCCCCACATCACCACCTCCCCACATCACCACCTCCCCACATCACCTCCCCACACCACCACCTCCCCACACCACCACCTCCCCACATCACCACCTCCCCACATCACCACCATCCACATCACTCCCCACATCACCACCTACCACATCACCACCTCCCACATCACCTCCCCACACCACCACCTCCCCACATCACCTCCCCACATCACCACCTCCCCACATCATCACCTCCCCACATCACCTCCCCACATCACCACCTCCGCACCACCACCTCCCCACCACCACCTCCCCACATCACCACCTCCCCACATCACCACCTCCCACCACCACCACCTCCCCACCACCACCTCCCCACACCACCACCTCCCCACCACCACCTCCCCACACCACCACCTCCCCACCACCACCTCCCCACCACCACCTCCCCACATCACCACCTCCCCACATCACCACCTCCCCACATCACCACCTCCCCACATCACCTCCCCACATCACCACCTCCCCACATCACCACCTCCCCACACCACCACCTCCCCACCACCACCTCCCCACCACCACCTCCCCACATCACCACCTCCCCACATCACCACCTCCCCACATCACCACCTCCCCACCACCACCACCTCCCCACCACCACCTCCCCACACCACCACCTCCCCACCACCACCTCCCCACACCACCACCTCCCCACCACCACCTTCCCACCACCACCTCCCCACATCACCACCTCCCCACATCACCACCTCCCCACATCACCACCTCCCCACCACCACCACCTCCCCACCACCACCTCCCCACACCACCACCTCCCCACCACCACCTCCCCACATCACCACCTCCCCACCACCACCTCCCCACATCACCACCTCCCCACATCACCTCCGATGTTTGTGGATTTTTCGCCGGGTCCCTCCGGTTTTTCCCCTCCACATTGAGAATGAACGTGCGTCTCGAGTACAGTTTTTGTCTGACGTTATAAATGTGCACGTCACGATAAGGCACTTCGTAGAGCTATCATTTGTGGCTAGCTTCTGATAACAAAGCTATTTAGCTCAGTGGGCCTTACCTGGTAAAATACAAGAAATATCTTCTTGGTTCTTTCGGTAAAGTCACGTAGAAGGGAAATAATAAAATAATAATAAAACATTATAAAATATAATTCTCACGACGTTTCGGCCACAACGCAAGCAGCCGTCCTCAGTTGAAGAACAAGGCTATCGTAAAAAAAAATACAATAAATAGTTTAGTTTAGTTATATAGCTCGGGTAGAAATATGCGTTTAGAGCAGTGTTCTTCATTGTAAGGCCCGTGGGCCACTGATGGCCTTTAGTGCGGCCCCTGGCGTACGGCCCACAGCAATACACAACACGTGTTTTGCTGTGGGCATGTGTGGCGGCCCTCAAACTGACATCTTATCGGCCCCCCTCTGAAAATTTGTGAAGAATACTGGTTTAGAGTATTTGGCTGCTATACTTTTCCACATGATAAGCCACTTTGTGGAACTATCGTTTGTGGCCAGATCGCTTTTGAAAAAGAGCTACAGAGTTCAGTGGACCTTACCAGGTAAAATAAAAAAAAATTTTGATTTTAGTTGCGCCAAACAATGCTAAACACACGCTACCCTGCCCAGTGTGGAACTTGGGGTTGCCACCCGTCCTGGTTTTCCCAGGGTCGTCCTATTTGCTTAAAGGTAGCTGTGCTGGGAAATGTTGTAAGTTTTTTCTGACAACATTGAAAGATCCTGGTTTTTTTTTATGTCAGCTGTCTAATGATACAACGCTCGAAACAATGCTTTTGCGTGTAGTTTTCTCCCCTCTTCTGCTATTGTCAGATATTTTTTCGCACCTGATGTGTCCTGGTTTTTTTTAATCCTTTATATTAAGTTCACTTGCACGCTTGCTTGCTTGCTTGCTTACGACCGTGCAAATCTTTCGGTCGTTTTTTAACCCACTTCCCGTGATCCAATCGAGCTGACATTTTCCACACAGACTCGTTGTGCGTGACAATTATTTTTCGTGAATAATTTTTTCCAAAATTTTACACTTTTTAGGACAAAAATATTATATTTAATTACCAATTGCTTAATGGTTGCATGCAATCATCTGACCCATAGGTGGCAGCCATCTCAAGCCAGAGGACGAGAGGACTCTAGCCGCCACGCATATAAAGGATTTATAGTGAAAAACTTTGTTTTTACGGGTTAATTTTTTTGTACCTCAGAGGTGGCAGCCCTTCCGTCACGATAATTTCGGCGAAATTGTTTCAAATCGTTGAAAATTGTTTCAGGCCCTCGTTGTTTGTCCATTCGCAACTCACTGGCAGAATTGTTGTTGTCATTATTTGCCTCTCTTGTCAGACTTAACTGTATACGTGAGATAATATTAAAGAATTAAGTGATAATGGTGTAATTATCATCATTGTTTATTTGCAGCAACGTCACCATGAAAGTCATCATCATTTTGGTATCTGCAACAAGATCACCATGACAATGATTATCATCGTTTAGTGCAGTGGTTCTCAAAGCGTGGTCCTCCAGGTGACCTGCAGGGCTGATGCAAATGCATATTGATCTGGACAATGTTTATACCATTTGTTTTGGACATTCATTCAGATTTTACTTACATTTAACTTTTAAAAATGTAGTTCGGTAAACTACCCTGATTAAACTGCCCTAACCCTAAGGTGTAAATGCCCCCCCTTAAAAAATCATAAAGCTGCGTTTACAAAATAATCTTGTTGTATTCCGGAAATATGAATATGTTTTATTATCATACAGACAAGTGAATGCGTTTTATCAGCAGGGTGGTCTACGTAAATATTTGCATCGGCTGAGTGCTTTGAGAAACACTGGGTTAGTGGCAACAGAAACATGGGACATTTCATGATCTTCATTGTTTTCGGAAGTAAGGACTTGAAGAATGATAATCAGCATCGTTTATCTGCATCAACATCATGACAATAGCTGTCGTAAGCTGCAGCTTAGGGCCACACATTTCGAGGGGTCTCTAAGTACGAAAAGTTTTAACAAAATCTGAATTTCTACCACCGTCACTAATCCATTATCATCATAATTTAATCGTTGTTATAATTTGCTCAGAAATAAACAGGCAACACATCTCAGTGATCTCATTGCTTAAACTGAGACTTTCCAATTTCCTCAATTTCACTTGGTGCTGCAGATGTGGAGGTGTGATCCTCACAACGACGAAGATCCCCCATATCACATGTAAAAGACTGTTGGGGCGCAAGTGCTGTTAGTGAGCACCTACAGTATAATGGCAATACACCCACTACTCTTTTAAGGCTGAGTCAACCTAGAGGTGGCCTTGGAGCATTTTAGATATTTGTCACCAATGTTGACCGTGAACTCGGGTTCCTAGCGCAGTGCGCTCATCACTGCACTGCCGCTCCCCTCCAGATGTGATCCTCACAAAGACAAAGATCCCCCGTATAGCCTTAACAGACTGTTGGGGCAAGTGCTGTTAGCGAGTAGCACCTAGAATGGTACACGAGGGTGTGGGTGGCCAGCACCACGCCAGACCACCTTTGTCTCCCTAGTGGTGATGAATACACACCGCACCAGGTACTCATTTGAGGCTGAATCGACCTAGGGGAGGCCCAGGACCGGTTCAAATAATCGTCACTGGTTTTGACTGTGAGCGGGAATCGAACTCAGGGTCACCGGTGTTCGTAGCGCAGCGCGCTAACCGCTACACTACCGCTCCCCACTACACACACACATGCGTTGGGACACGCAGAGCGGTGTCAACAGCACCGTCAAACAAATGAATGAAAGTTGACTGGAATGTTTTTAAATCGTTTGACCGGTCATTCGAAAGACATTTGGACAGCGCCCTCTGCTGTACGAATGTATTTCAAACCAGCAATGCATTCTCGATCTTCAAAGGCTATAAGCTCAGTAGTATCCTAAGTCATTGCACTGCAACGTGGCAAGACGTCTTTACCAACGAATGTGATGATGCTCATTATGGAATTTTTAAGAATAGGTTTTACCCTTTCTGGCAATGAAACAGTTGTGTTAAGATGTTAAAACGCCAAACAGAGACCTTTTGCAAGGACTTATGTCTGCATTAAGCACATATACCTGTGGCGAACATGCAAACAAAAAACATACTCTAATAGTGTATGCATTGTCTTTGAAACTGATTGGTCCAGAGCCGAGTCTCAAACAGTATTAGACCAAAGGACGCCAAAATGTGAACAGCACAAAGTGCCACGATCGGGACATTATAGCTCAGGGTGAGCAGCTACATCTTGGGATCTCGCTTTCCTTTTGGCGTCC